TTTGCCGTGTATGCCTGTAATCACATGTGATGCAACATGATAATGAAGCGACAACAAAAACTGATTTTGTTGATTATTTTAAATTACTTGTTACTTGTCGGTGTTGTTGGGATTTGTTGCTCTTGTTGCTCTTGTTGCTGTTGATGATGTCGTCGTAGTAGCTGTGTAGCTGTACTTATTGTAGTTGTAATTGCTGTTAGAGACATAAACAAAAAAAAATACAAAATAAGATATAAATTCTGTTGCAGCATATGTCTTCATACCGGAGTAGCTTTCACTTGCCCGCACAAAAAGGACATCTTCTGTAATGCAGAAATGAAATGTTGACAGCAACACTGAGAAACTTCATAAATGTGTTGCAGAGTGAATGTTAAACAAAAGTCATTAAAATGTATGAGCATGAGTTGATATTATAACAGCAACTCATAATGCGGAAATTCACACAAAATTCCAAGTTACAGAGTTATAAAGTTACAGAGTTACAGTAAATTTGCTTGAAATGACTTCAATTTTCGTAAAACTTAACACAAATGTGTAAATTTGAAATTTATTTCTTGCTATTTTGCAGTTTTTCGATTATTCACATAACAAGAAACAATCACTAATTTCCAATTCATTTGCATTTATTCGTAGTTGCAACTAACAATGCAACACCAAAAAGCACACCCAACCAACTGAGGATGAGGGGAACCACTAACGATGCACCCATCCTCCTCCGACATTCGTCAGGCGCCCACTTAAAAACGAAAAGTTGTAACTACTTTTAAACTTTGTCTGCTGCTTAAATAAATAAATTCTCAGTTTTGTGCAATAAAACCAAGAAAACCGAAACTGCAAAGTTTGCCGGCAACATTGGCTGCAACCAAACAAAATTGCATTTTACTGCGATTTGTTTAGCGCAGCAGTACAAAGTTTTCCTTGGCAAATAACCCATTAATATGCCATAAAATGAGAATAACAACGGGTGAAAAATGAGGAAACGGGTAAAAAATATAGCCAAAGACCTCGATAATCTTTTTATTGGAAATAAACTAATTTCAAGTAAGAAGCTACCTAAGTATCTTCGCCGCCAGCGAATATTGTTTGTTGCAATAATACAAAGTTTTTCCCTCCAGAAAAGCACAACTTTTTGGTTTATCACATGAAAGTTTGCCTGTTACATGTTGCAAATGTTGTTGTTGTTGTTGATGTTGCTGTTACTGTTACTGTTGTTGCTGTTGCTGTTATTCATAAAAGTTACCTGCATGTAAACAATTTCATATGCTTAGCATTCCAATTCTAATTCTACTACAACGATAGCTTCTCTGCACCACAGAACGGTATGCTCTTTCGAAGTGATTAAATGGATTTTGGAAGCTAATTAAATTTTAGATATTTTTCATTAAAAACTAGAAATGGTAAACAAAATATTGTAAACCACTTCAATGTTAAATGAATATTGGAAAGTTTGTTTACTAAAGAAATAATAATTTAATTTAAATTATCAATTTTATGCTCTATGACAAGCAATCTATTTGGAAGAGACTTGTACTTTAGACTTCATGAATTTTCAAATCAAAACAGGCCCTAGAGTGTTACGAGCTTCTGCAATCACTTGCAGCTAAGAATAAGGTAAGCCTTTACTGGGTTCCGAGCCACAGAGGAGTTTTGGGAAATGAAAAAGCTGATGAGCTAGCCAGAACTGCATCAAAACTGCTTTTATAGGCCCTCAACCCTTTTGTGAAATAAACTGGGACAGTACAAAACAGATTATCAAGGAAATGGAAAACCATATGCGGCTGGAGTACTGGGTAAACTTTCCAGGACTCAGACAAAGCAAAGCACTGATAACACCGTAATCCTACAAAGACATTCTTAAATTCTCAAAATATAATTTAAGGTTGATAACGGGTTTCATTACAGGTCATTATGGTCTGTAATATCACCTTCATAAACTACAATTATATGCGAACTCGGAATGCAGATTATGCCTCGAAGATGAGGAAACGACCATGCACATTCTTTGTGACTGTCCAGCTTTAATAACGCACAGAAGAAACCTGTTTCATAAAGAATTTCTGTCACCAGAACAGATAAAGAACTCTTCTCTAGATTTAGTTCTAGACTTTATTCATAAAGCTTTAAGGGGCTTTGTTTAATCAATAGTGAAACTGGCGCAATAGGTCTCTTATGGCCGCAGTACCGGCTGTTGGGCAATTTTCACGTCTACTCTTTTAATAAAATAAATAATAATAGACTTTATGGACTTTATGGGCTTACACTGACCATAAAGCTAATTCGGATTTCGCTAAGTATACATCCTCATATACATACATCATCTTTGGAAAAATTCGTTGGTTTAATTTTTTTTATATATGTTTTGGACCGCATATGTTAGAAATTGAAGTGTATTGTTCTCGATTTTATCCATCTCTTTAAAAAACAGCATCGATACTTTCGATAGTACATTCACGCTTTCGACAGGTTGGATTCACAACATAACAAACACTACCATTCTAACTAAATTTTACAATTACAATACATTATGAAAAATAAGTTCCCATGTTGACTATAAATATCATGTTATGCACCAACGGTTCCCCAAGTGGATATCTGAGCTAATTCCTTGGTGCAAGGAATAAAAAAAATCGCACGAGAGTTGCGAGTCTATTTAATATATTTAACGAGGTACTAGGACCCTGCATGTATCTAGCAACTTAGATCATCTATTGTTTTTTAGTCCATTAAATATTCCTTAATATGATAGTTAATAGTTCCTTGTACTTATATGGTGTGATTGAAAATAATTTTTTTGGAAACCTTTTTGCTGACAACATAGTTAAATTTTAGGTTTTCAAAATTTTTAAATAATTATTCTTGATTAAATTTCCGCTTATACATACTTATAATCCTTCGATAGTTTCTTTTCAAAAAAAATTGTTTTTAGCTTCCATAGATAGTATTAGAAGAATAAAGGATCCCAAAGAATATTCTTTAGTTTCATGAAACGACATCCTGTCCTAGCAGTTATGACAACATTTTGCGACAGGCAAATAGGAAATTAACTCATACTTCCTTACAAGTCAGGGCTAGGGTTACATGGCTAATTTACTCCAAATATAGAAACTCTGACTTGGTACACAGAGGAAAATCAAAAGTATCTATGTTAATATCTGTTTTAACAGAGTACTAATATATAGGATGGCATGGAACCAAGCTCGGTCTACCCACGGTAGTAGCCGGTAGTGTCTCCCGGTGCTGAGACTTATGCTTTTGTGTGTCCCCTTCTTTAACATACTCGGCGATATCTCCAGCTTTGACATTGGCTAGATACCCGCATTTATCAATGCTTCCAGCTCGTTCCAACATGACCGCTACCCACTATTACGAAGAATTGTAGAATCAAAATGGCTTTCTTAGCTAATTAAAGAGGTTTTGGTCTTCCGTCGACTTCACCTTACCTTACTTAATCTAGGATACCATATTCTAGTATTTCTTATGTCTTCGCTATATGTTTATTATTTTCTAACTTGATTATTATTGTTTATATGATTGTATTGTGATAAAAAATAATTTAAAAATTTTTACATTTCTTAGAAAAAAACTGAATTGTGTAATTCTTAAAGTAGTACTGTTTTTACTGCACATATTATTAGAGTATTATTAAGTTCCCAACAATTTTAATATCAGAGATTTACTAAAATCACTGAATATCATCAACTGCTTATTGAAATCATAAAAATTTATTATTCTCAACGAAATTCTAATAACAAATATATTAATAAAGTGAATATTATGGTGTACATATGTACATATATGGAATTTTTTTATGTCTCTACTAATAGTTAATCGAAAAATTGCTTTGCGTTTATTTATGCTAAAATAAATCTATCTGCAGCATCTAATTCCAAGAAAAACAAACTATCTGCAATATATAAACTAATGTGCTAACATAAAAATCATTGAAGCGTAAACTAAGCACAGACAGCAGCAGTAGAAATAGCAACAACAAAAAGCTCATAACGCTTCACTAAATAAACAGACATGAAACGGATGAAACGGATGAAACGAATGAAACGGAGTTAATCGCAATGAGAAAGGCTAAGTTATTATCAGCACCGAAACCAAAGGCAGAGTATCTACCACGAACCACCATGAACCAACCAACACTAACCACAGCAGAAGCAGTCATAATAACAAAAGCAAAAAGAGCCAATAAGCCAAAGGACCAAGAACAGTTATTAACATATCAGTTATTTAAATTTTAGCCATTATCAAAATATTTGCGGTCTATTGATGGCCAAGTGCTAATAGAAACAAAAAAGGCAGTGCAGCAAAAATTATTAGAAACCCGATAACCAACAAAATAATGAGACCATATCAGCAGGCAGGATTGGAAGGATTGGGTATACACTGACTATTAGTAGTGGCGGCAGCAGCAATACCAATTGTGGCAGTATTTAAATTGCTTATGGCATTTAATTAAAGCTTAAAGAAACTATCAAATATCCTGTAAATTTTCTAAAGTTCTAATCATTTTGAGCGAGAGACGAAGCCGAAGTAGGTTTTTGCTTAATTTTAAACTTTAAAACACGTTCGAGGCACTTTAAAGACTTTGACAAACCACAAACTTTGCCACCGAAGACCGCAAAAATCTCTACCAGAATTTTTGCCTGCTTAAATTTGAACTGATGACGATGAGCACAGACGAAGGACAGGCAACACAAATTTTGGGTATAATTTTGTAAAATTTGGTGTTTATAAGAAAATTTCAAGTACTTTAGAGTCTTTAGAAGTTTTATTTTGTTTTGTGGAAGTTTACTTTTGTTTGCTTAAGTGCTGAAAAATAGAAAAGTTTAAAATTTTAAGTACTGTTCAGTTGAGAAGTAAAAAACGAAAACCAAAAAGGACTCTTTTTACGCAAAATACCAAAATAAAAATGATCCTTGTTTAACAAAAAATTAACAAATAAAAAATTTTAATTTAAATAAATTTATTTATTTTAAATTTTTTCATTTTAGGTCTAAATATTATCTCACAAGCAAATGTTGAACTCCAATCGTTCATTTAAGTATTGAAATAATAGTAAAGCAGCGGAAAATATGCAGGATATACGCATACGTGTCGAACAGCCCATGACTCACGTGCCCACTAATCAAGGCAGCCGACCTTTACATCTGCTGCCGCAAATAAGTTTAAGGTAATTTAATTAAAATACTCATACATACAAATATATTCAAATTAGATTTAAATATAATTTTCTAACACAATTTAAATTGAATTTTTAGTTGCAATGAGACAAACATTGAACAACATCAACATCAGGTGCCACGCTCGCCCAGTTCAGAGGAAGACAATTCACCAACGGAAATGAACAATTGCAAACGTTTAGTTGATAAACCGCCACTCGTAAGTAACTGAAACTAAAGACTTTCAACCTCACTCCCCCTTCAGCACGCGAAAAGCAAACAAATGCAAAATGCAAATGTTACGTATACGACATGTTAACCATTGAAAATTTATTGCTCACTCAGATTGCTGTAAGTCAGTTAGCAGTTAGCAGTTAGCAGTTAGCAACGGTACAAATGCTGTAAGAAAAGCTAAAAGAACTGTAATCAAATAAATTTTAAAATCGTGTACGGAGCGATGCTTCATTTGTAACGATAAATACAGGAGCACAGCACGGCTCCACACTGCACAATCACTGGAGCAGCACATAAATCTTTTAGCCTCTTCCATGAAGTCGTTATATTGATGTGTTGTGATGTGCACTGGTTCCCTATGGAGATGCTAACTTTTCAAATCTTTCATTTAGCAGCTTTGAATATTAGAAGTTGCATATGCTTTTTAATGCGTTTCGTTCATGAAATGAATTAGAGCAGATCTATTGAATGGGGAATTGGAATGCATCATAAGTTCAATATCAAGAAGGGTTTTATGATACTGTTTTGTGCCCAAATTTTTAAAATATCAATCGACCTGAATTACATCAAAGTACTGGATTTACAGTTTAAATACTAGAATAGCTACCTCACAGATATATATATATTTTTTTAAATTTCTTTTTTTATTAATAGATGCAAAAATAATATTGAATGTAAAGCAAATAATTGATTAATTTATAAGCATTTAAATAGAAATTAAAGATCTGCTTTTCGCAAGTAGCGAAAATGAGAGAGTGAAGCTTTCGTTGAGTGTCTGATAATGAGTCAGCATATAAACTTGCAAGAATTCTATCAGCTATATAATCTGTGGACTAAATACTCAATGTGAAATAAGTTGACTGGTTTGTAACTAAAAGAAATTGTTACTAGCAGAACACTTCATATAGTTGCCATACTAAAGAGGTAGTTCATCCTTACAATTACGTTAGAGCATCTTCACTCAGTAATATAAACTTGACATTGTTTATTTGATGGGTTATCATGATCTACTTTATCATCTAAACAAATTCAGTTATCTAAAGGAAAAATATGTCGACTGATTTTGTCTGATTGTCCGGCTTCGATCTGAACTAGAGAGATTACTGAGCCAAAAGTTCCTATATCTGTTTGGTCAATTGTTGGGATGTTCTCAACGACTGACATATAAACCAATATTCGAAAGCTAAATTTGTTCGACTTTGATCCCAAGCCAGAGAGTTTACTAAGTCAAAAGTTTCTATATCTACCTGGTCAATTGCTAGCATGGCATCAACAACTGGCATATATATGAGAATTGCAGTGTGTTCTGTACAGTTAGGGTCGGATAGTAGTAAAAGAAATCAGCCAATGCCCCATATATATTATATTCTATTCTATTTCTGGTGGCAAAAACTCGTTACGCTATTGTGAAATTGTGTTCAAAAACTTCAGGCAGATAGAATGTAAGTTTTTATGACTACTTCCAAAAGATAAAAAAAAAGAGAAATATTATATAAAATGCACGCCAATTTGATCACCAATTCTGTTTTGTTTCGTTGGTATGTTTTATATCAGCATTTCTCAATTAATGATCTGCAGACTACCTCTTCCACATAAAGCCCAAACTGTCATAACAATGTCTTAACCGTTTTTGGGCAATATATAATATATAAATGACTATGATGTTTTTATATTATTCACCTAATGTGGTGTTTCTATTACAAATGCCTATTTCAAGGATAGGCTGATTCATTGATAATTGCCGGAACTCTATTAAGTTCGTAGAAAAGGAAGAAAAGAAAATTCAGGAAATAAGGAAATACATAGCTATGCTACATGAAAAGGTTAAGGTATTTCAACATGTAAATCACCAGCAAGCTACTATGTAGTCAAATCAATGAACTATATTTTACCCTGGCATTTATCTGTACTGCAGTACCAGTTGTAAATTCGTCATTTTGTATGCAACGTGTGATCACAGATTTAGTTATAAACACTCTAATTCTACAGTAAATGTATATGAAAAGATTAAGGTATTTCTACACAGGGCTTCGAAATGGAACCGAACCAAAAACCGAAAAAATCGATATTTTTGCAGGAACGAAAACCGGAAAGAGATTATCATTATAACCTATTTAAATAATATATAATGGAATTAATAATTGAAAGATCTTTTGATATACTAAAATTAAATTTGTTTCTCTCAAGAAAAATTTTTCCATGACAAAATGTTCGCATAATTAAATCATCACCTACTTAATATATTGAATTTACAAGGAAAGTACCTAATAAATATCTTGTCCCCTTTTTATAGAAGTTTTAAAAGTCAATCGGCAAACACTGTCAGTTGTCAATAATCACAGTAAGCTTCTAACAAATCATGTTAACATATATGGGTTTCAATTCAATCAAAGAGACATATAGATAGAATGAATTGACTGCAGTTTCAGGAATTCAATTTATAATTTTAAGTACTTTTTGAATTGCAAACAGAATCATTCCCAACAATATAAGCTTTTAAGACAACCTCTTCTTACTATTTAAAGATTTCCATATATTATGTTAAATAGGTATGGATTAAGAAATGAGAAAATGGTATGACAAATGGTTGCAGTTCTTAAACTGCAATTATAAAATTAATTTATCCTCTTATAAATTATCTTACCATTATTATTATCTTGCCACACTACCGCACCTTTTGGCCACATAATTGTCCCCCAAATTAATTTGTGCAATTTTGATTCTGACAACTCTGACAAGTGCTGTTTGTAGTTTTACTAAATTAATTTTCCACAAATTTTCTACATGAGCACTTTAACACGCCCCAAAACAACTCGAACCTACGCCAACAATTGCAATCTGAAGAAATTATTTAAGCAAAAAATGTGCAACGTTCTGAACGCGTTCAAATTGCATTAACAACACTTTTGGTTAAGTACTTCTGTGCTTCCCCGTTCTGAACAGGCACAGTTTTTCAAAGCGTAAAGCTTCACTCGGCAGCTGCAGATGCACACGGGCTACAGTATACTTATACAAAAACAAAAATAGAGAAATACAATATTACAAAAATACAAAATTACAAAAATACAAAAATGCAAAAATGTGAAGAAAATCCAAACTTACTGACTTTATGACACACAAATCCTGGCGATAAATGGAAAAATACAATGGAAATGTTACGCCTGCAAATGACAAACTGCACACAATTTTCACGTCTGGCTGGAAGAGGGGGAAGACACTGCAAATGCCACTAACCAGAAAATGGGAAATAGTTTTGTTAACTTCCATAAAATCTTGGCTTATATTTTGTGTTGCATGCCACACAATAGACGCCCTTTTTCGGTAGCATTGATAATGGATGTGGCAATGAAAAACTTTAAGATTGTTAGGTACTGCAAACAATGCATTTAACTGGAGAACTATGGAACGTGTCTATTGCAAGATAAAGCGAAAGACAAAAACGACATCAAAAACTAAAAGCAGAAAATTTAAATTACAAACTAAGAAAAATTATCTCTTTACTAAATGGAAAGTTAGATACTTTATCAGTTCAGAGCACCATATGTAAAGGGACATATATAATGTACAGAAGTCCAGAGTTATTTAACGTGATTTCCTGCTATGAAGGCTTAAAATCACAGTGTTTTTAACACATACATCAGTATATGCGCCCATTGGAACTCCAGAGAACTCCGCCGGTGCCAATGAAGAAATGTGTGTAAGACATAACTTCTACTTTGGTTTGATATGAGGCTCATCTAAGCCTCTGCTGATCTTTGGGTCTCAGCACCCGGTAGTGAATACGCAACTCCACGCCGAATGAATGAACATTCTCCACGCGTAAATTTTGATATTAATCACAGTCACTACGAGTCCAACATTAACTGGTCAGCACAGTCAAAAATGCGAGCCACTGACCCCCATAGTATCAGATATTGTAATCTCTGGTCAAATGTCGCAGGCTACCATGCACACTTCTTACACAAGTGTCGGATTGGCAAGGTGTTTTAGTCACGTCTTACGACAGGCATGCCTACCGCGGGATTATTCTAACCCCTTCACCACAGGAGAAATAGATAAGGTACAATATACAAAAGGCATTTATTTTGTATTAAAAAGGACAATTATGCAAAGCCTTATTTGAGATCTATGGTGTTAACGCTAAATTGAAACTATTGATCAATCTAACAAGATGTTTAAGTTCAAAACTACAGATGACACTTTCTATGAGAAATAGAAATCTTCATTTGATTTCTTAATAATCGAAAGACACGAGCAGATTTAAAGTACTTTATAGAAAATGTATGTGCCAGTGACCTATAATGTCATTTTTAAAAGATGATAGTTACCAGGTGCCTGTCCTGTTAAGAATACAACAATTAATCTGAATTTAGATTGAGAAACTTCTCAACTTTTTGTCGTTGAATCTTTACAAAAAATATAAACTGTTATCGAGTTCTGTTTAATCATGCAATATAATAAAATACGTACATTGTTGGAGAGTGGAGGTTACAAATTGCGAAAGTGGTAATAACCCAACCAGAAACTCAATTATTCCAGTTTTAAAAAATTCAGTTTCATTAGTTATATTATGTTATTAACAACAATATATTTATATTCCGAAAGAACATTTATTTTTTTACATCTAATCTGACTGTGACCAAATGAATTGGTGAATTTTCATTTGACTGTAGACAAATAACAACAAAGAACACGAATTACTTCACCTATTACTAAACTGCCATTCCACACCTCTTGAGATCGTCTAACTCTCTAATTGCATCATATGATAATTTGATCATTTTCACATATATGGCAATGTTCCTAAACTTTTAAACAGATTAGGTTCAATCTTTCCATTCCCTCGTTATTATCTCTAAGTTTCTTATTCTTGCAGCAATATAACCTTATCCTAATTTGTGTTATTTATGCTCAGGGATCACCCAATAAGATCCCATTAAAAAGATTGGTTGGATTGTAAGATTTCAGCTTCCTAATTCCCTTTAGAATTAGTCTCTAGCATTGAATAAATTGAAAAATAAAATTTATAATTAAAGAGAATCAAAGTGTTTTGTTTTGAAAAAAAATTAAATATTTCTCAAGCCCACAAAAAACATTGAAATTCATTAATGTTTAAAGTTTCATTATTAAAAAAAAACAAATTATTACAAAAAATAATGAAAGGGAAAATAATGCCACCATTTGCCTACCCGTAATAACAAAATACTGGTACCTCCAGTATTTTATTCTACAACTCACTTGATATCCAATTCTTACGTACACCATTGCATGTGGTTGACTATGAAATACCAATCAGCTCACCAAGCTAACTGAAAAGTTAGGACCTCCTTCCACTTGACGTACCTATATATCTACAAATAATATTTAATAAAGCTTATGCTGAATTTATACTTAATACCATTTTACAAGTAACAAAGCTATCTCAAATCAAACACAGGCATTATTACTTAGCTTTTCTGGTCCCTTATTATATCAGCAATAATCTACAATAGAATTTTTACTTCTATCGAGTATGAATTCTATGACATATCTTATCATTCATGCACCCTAGTTTGATAAGCGGGCAAAACAAACTTAGAGTTTACGTATTCTTAAAGGTGGTCTTTCATTTCTTCCCTACTCAGTTATATGTACACTCCTATGAGGTCAACATAAAGTTACATGAATCACTCATAATGCTCTTGTTGCTTTATATTGGATTTTGTTATATGATACCTCAACATGTCTGAGTTGTTAAACTACGAATATATGGAAGCAACTTCATATACCATCAGAGAGCAAAAGATACAAACTTTGCACCTTCAATTCGCTAAATCAAGGCATACGTGCACTCCGTCGTTTTGCAGTTGTTAATACTTTTTACCAAACTGCGATAAACTTTTGTTGAACAACGTTTTCAATTGATTTGCATTTAAACTTTTTAACCTGCACGAAGTCTTTGCAACCGTTGACATCATTCTGTACTCAGAAAAGGTTAAAGATACATGTTTTAAAAATTTAAGAGTGTGAATAATTGATTGTCGTACACATATAACAATTTAATTTATTGTATTCGTATATTATTGAAATTTTTTTAATTTTATTAATTTTCTTAATTAAAATTTTTTTATATAATGTTTGTGATTTTTAGGTAAAAAGACTAACCATGGGTATGGGCTTGCTGCGCTCAACAGAACTAGAAAGTCGACCGCTCGTACATACAACTTCATCCTCTCTCAACTCTGGCTCCTCACAGACAATATCCGATGGTTATGTGAACGAGGCGATATGTGAACCTGATAAAATAATATCTAGTAAATTTGGTGATTCGTGTCGACAGTCGTTAACCGCGTTACCCTCTATGGAAGCAGCTCACCGCCTACAAGAACATAACGAATTTAGTTACAAGAAAAAATATCTGCGAGAAACTTGCAGTGGTAAGTCAATCTAATATTCAAAAATAAACTAATATATATTAAAAGTTATTATATTTATATAATTATTTAGCGAATTCAAGTCCAAAGATGTTTGCACCAAGCGCGCCATTACGTTTAGATAGTCTTAGCTTAGCTGAACAGAATGAACTGAAAGGTGCGGCTTGGTTTCAAGCGGGCATACCACGTGAGATCTCATTAGAAGTATTATCACGACAGAGTCCTGGTGCATTTTTGGTGCGACAAAGTAGCACAAAACCCGGTTGTTTTGCATTATCGCTAAGAGTACCGCCACCAGCGCCAAAAGTTGCGCATTACTTAATACTAAAAACGCCTAGAGGATATAAAATTAAGGTAAATGTTGCTTATAGGATTTACTTAACATATGACTTATGACATATGACATATGAAAATTTTGTTTTTAGGGCTTCACGAAAGAATTTACTTCATTGCGTGCGCTAATAACACATCATTCTGTTATGCCTGAACTGCTGCCAGTACCATTGACTTTACCACGTCCAACGAACCCTGCTGCAAGTAGTCGAAACGGCTCACGTGGCAGTGGTTTGGATGGTGATGATTTTGATACATATGGTTCACTTAATGATTTTCGAAAAATGATGTCTGATTTAAATGTATGACTTTTACTTGATGAAAAAGCTGAACAACTCAATGTATTGAATACGTCAGACACGTTAAGTTCAGCTGCAGTGACAACATTAATAACAACTGACGGAACTGATGTCATGAGCAACAGAACGACAACAACAACATTATTAACAACTGTCATAGCCGATGTCGTGAGCAACACAACACTTTCAGTTCCAACAACAATGTCAACAAACTTCCCAACAACTTCAACTATAACTGCAATTACTACAGGATCAAGTGCAAGTATGGCTACTAACGTTTCATCCATGAAGGTGTTGACACCAACGCGGATTGGTTCAAATGCTTAATTAATTAACATTGACATTGTTAACAAACACGTGACTTCAGCATTTGCTCACATTTTAATTTTATTTAAATTAAGATAAATTGTAAAGCAACGAACATACAAAAGTACAGCAACAAAAATAATACATAAAACAAACAAGGATATTGGTAGGATATGTAGATAAGCATGCCTTCCACTGTACTATAATTTGAGGACTGTTATGTAGGAACCATACTTTACTCATAGAAATAAAAAATTGAAAGCTTTAAAAATATATACCCACACATACAATATATTTTTATAAAAGGAAAAACTGATGTCGAACTGCATGACGACCATTAACAAAACAATAGTAGAAAATTAAATAATAAATGCAAATAAGATTACAAATATCTTTAATGATATATTTTGGACATTATTCAGGACCTCAAAAAACGTTGCATTTCTTAGCAAAATGACATTTACCCTTTAAACCTTACCGTCTGCATATCCTTTAACTCATTATTCTCAAATCAATAAAAGCTATAAATTTCAAGAAAAGTTAAATTTTGATTATATTAATATAGTTTGAAGAAACTATATATATCTACTTGCAAAACTCCACTTTTTTTGTATTTTTTTCTATGGCTTATTAAACGTTTATACTGATTTGACCCGTGCACTTGATCTAGTGGACTTACCAAATCAATATAGTTGGTAGATATGATGAAGCTGTATCTTCCTCGCTTTATAACAATAGCAACAAATTTTGCCTAGAAAACCGATTATAGTGATTATAACCAAAAGGAGGTTTTACTAAAGAACACACCCTTTATTTACTTTAGCATTGTGTTTAATATGCTCTTTATAGAACGTTAGTTAGCTTCTCATAGAACGAGAACTATGAGGAGCAACTTTAAATCAAAATTTGTTGCTTTTATTAGTGACCTTACTAGCTTCACAAGCGATATTTGGAGAATTAAAGCTAGCATCCTTTTAGAACACTTATACTAGAGACATATTCCTAACTAAGGCCTATTTTTTTTATTTTGACCTATCATCTTTAGAATATAATAATAGTATTTCATAGTGTTTAGTGCTTTACGGTGTTCGGATAATTCAAATTCACTTAATTCACAAGTTAAAGTTTTAATAAATTAAATCGAACACTTCAGATGTTCGAAAATGCTAGACTTTTTTCGAATTGTTCGAGCTACTCGAATAGCAAACCTATTTTGCGACATTTTATACTAATTTTCTTTTATAAAAAGACAAATAACATTAAATGTTCGAACACAATATAGCGTTTGACCCTGTTCGATTGACTCACTTTGCTGGATCTAAGTGTTCCATCCCAAACATTAAATTGCTCGAAGTGTTCAACCATAATCGAAAGGCTAGCTGTGTCGCTTTTGAGCGACCGGATTGCTCGATCACAAGAATACTCGAATATAAAATTACTCGAAAATTCGAACAGTTCAAATAATATTTAAAGGACTACTTAAAACCTTTGCAAAGCATTTGAATTCATCTAAACATTTATTTTGTTTTGAAGAAATCTATTTTTTATCCAACTTTAACAGAGAAACAGCGAGCATCTTAAATTTAGTTTTTAGACTTCAATTATGGCTTGCTATAATATCTGAAATTCGAAGAATATTTAAAATGGTCTAGATTTGATAATAATAATCAAGACAAATTAAATTATATAAGTGGAGCTAACGTATTCAATACTGAACGATATTCTTATTATCACAAATAAAAAGAACTCACATCAGAGAGCACTCATTAAATGATCCGAATTGTTGCTTCCTACTTTAATATTAAAAAATATTTTAAAATATAAAAAAACAATGTTTCAAAAAATGTATTTTATATATTTTAAATAAAAAATATATTACTTATATTTTTTTAAAAACATTATCTATCAAATGCTTTGAAGTGAAGACGAAGTAATTTCTATATTAATTATTTATATAATAAATATGAACATATTAATATATATATTCTATTTCAAGCAAATCCACTTGACTTCGTGGATCATATATAATTTATTAGTAAAAATTTAGAGAAAATAGAAGTCTGCGTGAAATATGTATACGTAATACAGGAACTCTTTACAATATATATAAAAATTTACACAAAAAAAAAAATTATATGAAAAATATTTAATATAAAATTGTGGTATAACAAACAACAAAGTATATTACTTATATTTAGCTAAATTTGCATAATTAGTTAGGTACTTAAAGAATATAAAAAAATACTGATACTGATAATATACAATACATGTCAAATGCTTCACTTTAATCGTATGCAAATGATATCGTAATTACTGTAAGCTTTTTATATTGTATGTTAGTGAAATAATAAATTAATAGGTATATGCATTAAAATAATAATAAATGTGTTTATACTTTATAGCTTTAAATCAAAAAAAAAATATAAAAAATATTAATTAGTTTTATGTTATATAGCAAAAAGATTTTCTATCCAAAGTGGGTATGAAATCAGCTCAATTATTATAATTATATTGAATTTATATATTTATAAAATATAATATTAAATAATATATATGTGTATACTGTGTATTAATGTAAACAATATTAAATATATTTAAAATGTCAACTGTATTAGTATATTTTTAACATATTTGTTGTATTTGTTTTTATATATACGTTATATATTTAGTTTTTGCATTTTTATATATATTTTAAGTAAAAGTGATAAAATTAAAAAATTATTCAAATATTGGTAATTAAATTATTTTTAATAATTAAGAAAATTAAATACAGAGAAATGTTTATGTATGTCTAGTTAAAATAAATTTATATTGCAATTATATATTAATAATTTTAATTAAATGTTTAATGTTTGCAAATGTCTTTATTTAATTATTAAAACTAAATACATAAAATGATAAACATTTATAAAGCTTTTTTTTATTTTCAACAATCAACTAATAGAATATATATTTTCGTAAAATATATTAGGACCACAAATATTAGGCAACTCATGCTTGTGGAGTATTCGGAGAAAGTCATGAACGACACCCAATTGCCAATATTAATAAGCTCCGGCTGCTCTTGAAACATTTCGAGTCACATTAACAATAACAGTATTTATAACAATAATAATTTATAATATTTTTTTATTCATCTCTCTTAACATGACAGTCCATCGTTGACCAGTGCTGCTCCTTAACCGCTTTTCGACATCGTATTTCGTCACTCTTCTCACTCTTCTCTATATTCTTAATGTTTTTAAGTCGGTGAATACAGCCACAAACTATATAGTAGAAAAATATAATGAATGTAATATCAATTAAAATTTTAATATTTGAAATAATATATAATATTCTATATATTCCAAAAAAGATATTACATTTTTTTCATAAACTTTATACTCCACTAAAAATAACATCTTCTTTTTCGTAGTCTTATTCAATTTTGGGTCTGCTTTCTGCATGGATCTTATTTCTGTCACTTTAAATTATCTCTTCATTTCCGCCAGAATGACATATCGGTTTTTCCGGAATTTTCGATAATCTACTTAAATATTTTAGACAGATTGTGACATGACAAAAAACAAAGAAAAATAGCTTATAGCAGAACTTGTGGTCAGTTTGTTTCTTTATCTAAGTATTTATGGACTCATTAACTAGTTTATTGTTATTCATATGAGCTTAAACGTCGAAGTTTAGGTAAATTCGCAAATAGTATCAATATTCCGACGCACTTTTAATAACTGGAATTTATTTATTCACACCTCTTTTACCTTCTTCATCTTTTACTTTCTTCTTCATTACTCGGGCTACTCGACGGGCAAGTCGAACCCGAGCCCGAGAAATAAATTTAAAATAATTATTAATTCTTTATTTTTAAAAATTTTCTTATATTTTAAATTTAATTATAATATAAAAACAAACATAGAAGGCATGTTCACGTTTTTTGTTGAACATTTCAAACGCAAATTAGCTAATTTTATTTTGAGTGTTAAAATTGCACTAAATATTTTATATAAAATGTTTTGAATTTAACATATCACAGTGCGCCCTTATATACTTCGAAGTAAGTCTGCAGTATACATATAGACTTACTTCGAAGTCTGCAGTATAGCTTGCATACAAAGCGTTCACTGACGATGTTTCTATTGAGCACTCAACACATTGGTATTTTAATAATTTAGCACAAAATTAGCATCTTAAATAAAAATCATGAAAAAACCTATTATTTTTAAAAACTGTAATGACTTATAAATTTATATATATAAAGTATTATATTTTCCATTAGTACAAAACATCTACTGCGGCTGTAACATTCTCTTTCCCCTTTGGGAGTCAGTAACCTGTTTATTTCTATTTCTATGATATTTCAAAATAGTTTTCTATTTTCTATGATATATATAATAATAATACAATATTTTCTGATTGTTTTCATTCATTTTATTTATATACATACCCGAAATGCTTATAGTAACTTTATTAAATAGTTGTCTATATAATAAAAATATATGAATACATAAAATATAACTATTTTCATGCATATTGTAATAGTTTAATTAATAAAGAGTTTAAATATATTTATATACTTTAGGTGGTGCAAAGTGCAAAAAACTGCAGTGCATTTGTATAAAAGTTAACATTTTCCTTTTCAATACTTCCCCTTACAATTTATATATATATATATATGTATATAAATATATATCATTATATTTTCTTAAATATATATTTATAATATTTTGTTAGTAACAATCAAATGTAACAATGTTAAAACACATCAATAAGAATAACAATTTTTAAATACATCGAAATTTAATTAATTAAATGACAAACGTTTCAAATTTCGAGACACATTCTATACAAAGTAAATATATTCCCAAGAAGTACGAGATTTAACATTTTAATATCAAAGAAGTTTAAATATAATAGAAGGTTTGGTTTTATCGCATAAATTATACATTAATTATAAAAACATTTTTTATTTATTATGATTAAAATGTGCATTAAAGGAACAATATGTATTTAACGTTAATGTTTATCGAATGTTTTATTTATAGTTTACATTTTATTTTGAGAAGGTTCTAAGTGAACAATATAATATATGCCGTTTTTTCAAAATTGGCTATTAATTATAATTTAATATTTAAGTAAATATTATAAAAAAATGATTTAAATTTAATTTTAAATATTTTAAGTACATTTAAATATGAGCTTATAAGAAATTTATTAAATAAATCCACATTTGAAAAGATACTCAATACAATAATATTTAATACACATATATCAAAGTTGATTACAATTCAGTCCGAATCCGATTTTCGAATTGACACATAATTCTTAATCATTATCCTTTTTGAATATAACAAAAAAAAAACCCTTTTAACATAATATATTAATAAATTCATAGATATTAAAAAATTATTTACTAAAGCTTGGCTTTTTAAAGTGTAAATTTAACTGTCCACACCGGTTGAACTAAGAGCAAAGTTTAAGTGTTAATGTGTTAGCGCATTGCATATTATTTCTACCAAAAATATTGAAAATTATATTCTCATATTATTAAGTATAATTAAAATATTTTAAGTTTTTGGAAAATATTTTTAAAATTTGTCTCATTTTTAACAGCAAAAGAGGTTGAATCTACATTTATTCAAAATTCCCTCTTTTGCCTCTTTGGTTGTTAATTGCAGTTATGATTATTTTGCTGCAGATCATCGTTTATGTTGTCAACATGATTATCAATTGTTCTCCATGAATTTAACTTATCCAATAAGACCTCCATATAAGGATTTTCACCCAAACGAGCAACCTGAAATATTAAAAAAACCCAATTATTGTATCAATTTTAAATAAAATAATATTGTACGTTTTTATAATGCATATATTACAGAAATTACAAGATGTCAACACTGAAGTAGTGTAGAAGAACCAAGAGGTGAAAGGATTGCATCGCTAATAAACCACTTTTTTAAAAACCATAAAAATTATTTAAGTCTGTCGCCTGAAATACTACTTTAACTATTTAAACCTTCGAGAATCTAGATGTTCGAACTCATTCGAACTCATATATAAAAATATTATCGTCGAGCATATACAGTCATAAGTACTTCTAGAAAACTAAACGAAAATATTAATAGTAGATCGAATATCTTCAAGCAACTTACAGATTTCGAACATTTTAAATGTTCGAATGCGAGTATTCTCCAACTGCTTGTGCAAGTCAACTCTGAAATATTTTGAATCGCTACTTATAACCATTAAAAATCAGACTACCCGCTTCAGAGTATATATGTAAGAAATACTAAAAGTTTACCACCTGAAGCCCTCAATTGAAACACAAAATACTCTATGCAATGTCGATAAAATATTTTTAGACTTGATGAGTAATATATAATCTACCCTCTATCTATTGTGATCTATTGTGTATCTAAATGCCCAACTAAAACAATTCTAGACTATTTATAAATCAAATACTATGGGCTTAATTTTACCTTTTTAATTTAAGACCACACGATTCGAAATACTTGAAAAAAATCTTTTTAGAGTTTTATGAACTACGCCATTTCAGACTTAACTACTATAATGCAAAGGAATACATTATTCCAGTTGATGCAAGAATAATATGCTAGATGTGGCTAAATCTAGACTAAATTCAACATGACAAAACAAAATAGAAAGTGTAAGTAAGATAAATCATATAAAGAAACAGTGCTGTAAAATAGATGAAATATATTAAAGATCATATGAAGTGCTGTAAAGAAACGAGAATGATCATAAGAAATTGAAATTTGCAACAAGATAAAAAAAATGCATGGGATTCGTTCGAAACTAGATGGAAATGAAAAGAACAAGAAACTTCATATTCATGGTCACCAACTAGCAACTGGCCACTAGTTATTATTATTTGACGATTATTAGCTATCACTTATCAAAAAAAAATATTATTCTCAATGTAGTCTAAACCTAAACCGAAACTAGATAAATTTTTCTAATATACTGATATAATATTAACCTATAAACTAATATAATATAAATGTAATGGGGATACTTATATATTCAATATTCAATCTTAAACTAGTATGATAAAACTGTAACTCTTAATCAAAATTGGAATTACACTTACTTTCAGAGTATATACTAATAAAAATATTTCAAACTTCATGATTACCAGAGAGTCACGAGGTATTAATATTTGATGATATTTAGCTATCTATCATTATTCATAAAACTGTACTTAAATAAAAACTTTGAATCCTTTGTTATTTTTATAGCCAAAATCTGTTAAATTATGTATCTGATCTGTATCTGTCTTAATAAATTGAATTCATATGAAATTAGTGCTTATACATTGAAATAAGCAAAGAGCAAATTGTCAGTTGATTGGACCAAAAATTCAAAAAAATAACTCCACTAAAAATGTATGTGGGCAACGACAACTAAAACATTTCCAATGTTAAAAAATTCAGTGTAGGCACAATGAGAAAAATATATAATAACATTAATTTAATAACATTAAATCTGTTCAAAATACCTCTTAATTAAAAGCGTCTTAATCTTAATCTTATTTAAACTTACTTCCGCTTTGGCTTCTTTATCTAAAGATGCCAGTACCTCACGTGTATATTTAAAGCTTCCAAGTTTTTCAAGCAAACTAATGCAATACTTTTTAACCTCAACATCATGTGTCCGCTGCCGTAGTATATCTGTAAATAAAATGTTTATTAAAATAGGTAATATAAAAAAAAAGTATCGATTATTTAATACAATAACATCGTAACTCAATGTTCCTAATTTTTCGGAAAATTGCATGGTCTTGTCTTGATTTCAATTTATTGCAGTAGAAATTCAGTCAAATTAAAAATATTGCATTCTGACTTTTAAGAGAAAACTACAGACAGATGCATTTCCATAAAAAATTCAAGAAGTACAAATTTTGACCCATCATGTCATTGTATTGAACAAAAGATATTTAAAAGCTTACGCAGAACTTGTTTGTCACGTTTTTGCGATCTCACGGCATGTATTACAGGAAAACCAAATTTACCCTCTGTTAAATCTTCAGCAAAACTTTTGTTTTCACTGTACTATAAAACATTTTAAATTAATGGATATATTCTTTAACACATAATATGAATTTAATAATTGCTTACTTCTTTGGAGATTAGATTACAATAATCATCACGTATTTGGAAGTATAAACCCAATATTGCTGTTAACTTTGTAAAATCCTCTTTATTATCACTGAACAATTGCATTAAACGAATTGCCAACATAAATAAACCGCCCGTCTTACGTACAGTCATCAACTTATAGTCAGATTCCGATGGACAAATAAAGCTATCCCGCCAATATATTTCCATGCCCTGACCACGATGTAACTCTAACAACTGTTCAGTGTAAACTTGATTTGCCTGTAAATAAAATTAAATATTAATATATTAGATAAATCAAAATATAATAACTTAAAAAGTCATAATAACTTACTTCAGGATGTCCTAGTTGCTGTATTTTTTCCAATGTTAGAAATAGTACATAATTTGCTGCGTTTATTGTGCTGGCAACTCCATATATCGAATGTGCTACAGGAACGCCTCTGCGAAGTATTGAATTGTCTTCAATATCATCAATTCTGTAAAATAATGTTAGCACCCGAGAAGAGATGATAAAAACTATGCTACTATTATATACAACATTGAGGTGTGCAAAATAATGTTTAGTAATTTACTACGTGTGAAAATACAATATATAAAATAATTTGTAATTGTTAGGGCCTGTTGAGAGCGAATTGCAATTTCATGATGCTCAACATGCAGAAAGTAGACACGGATGTGGCTATGTTAGTATAGCTTGTCAAGTCTAGTTACTATTCATAAAACTAACCGCCTACACCGCATAAGAGTAATTTCAACAAAACCTTATCCATTAACTTCTACTACTATGTTACTAACTAATATCTGCAAATAAGAGTTTTGATAAACATTCTGTATATCATTACAATATCTCAATATAATCATTTCTTTCATAACCTTGATAGTAGATACCAACAGAAACTCCTCTAAGACGAGAAGTTTCCAGAGAAGCGCTGGTTACCACAGTTTTAAGGCACGCTAGCTGTGCTAAGTAACATTGGACACTGAAACGGGAAAGGTTTTTAAAGCCTACACGAGTGATCTTGACGAGGCGTTTGAAAGAATATTCACAGAGTGCATAAACGCCTACTAACAAAACGTCTTCCGCAAATGAGTAATATCCCCCTCTTCCCTCTCCTGCTCTGATCCAAACTGACAATAATCGTGAAACCGTTAAATATAATCCTTATCTCTCGATAAATAGTGTCTTATAGTTACTACAACTATATTCGATAAAGAAGAACGAGCAAGAGTAATCAGTTTAATTTCAATTTGACTATTAAATTAGCCAATAAAACCTCTGCTATGGCACCTATTCGTTTAGAACAAATTTACGAAGTTATTTCTGTAGAATTTTTCCTTCCGTCAAAAGAAGTTAGTCCGAAATAGAAACTTGTAAAATAATAATAAAAAAACACTTTTGAAAACAACATGATAGAGAAGTGGCGACATCTTTTTTTGCAATTAAAGATAAAGGATCTCAAAGTTCTGATCAAAGTCATCATAAGTCACAACATAGGTGGACATCACGTCTCCACTTAAAGCATGATCACACATCCAACATGTAAATCATGTCATGAGGATGTGGATAATATAAAGCATTTCAACTGTTATTTTAGAGCATTCACAAAAACTAAATTGACATTATTGGGTTATAACACCTTAAGCATAAATGACGTTCACGCGCTCTCCCTCTCTCTCTCTCCCTCTTTCTCTAGTTCCTCTTCTTGGACTTAGACAATTACGAAATTCGAGTTAGAGTAGCTATTTAATTGTTCTTTTAGGTTCGGATACAATGGTCAACTGCCTGGGTACTTAGTTTCATTGAACCGAACACTAAATTTCTTTCTAAATTTAGGTGATCACAAGTTTGGAAGAAGATCCTTAGAGAATATATACATTTCGTGGTAAACGCAAATCTTTTAGATTTTATATTCTTCGTTTACGTTTGGGTACTATGATCTACTGTCTAAATGCCTTGGTTTTACTTCTTAAGTAGCTATAGCTATAGTTTTATATAATAGCGTACTCATTAAGTACCATATCCGTACATCGATTGTACGCTTTTTAAGATTTATAGTATTTAGTGGTCAATTTTAACTTATTTTTCGGTTATACAGATACCAGAAATATCCCCTATGAACCGATATTCATTTCAAATTTACCGATATTTTACTCAAAAATGCACGACATTCCAGGTCAAGTATAGATATAGTGGTAACAACACCTAGGGTCACAACATACATACTCCTGTTTCTATATAATATTTTACTATGGCGGAATAGTTTAATTTATGCCTGGGAAGCACAATAATATGTTATATATTAAGTCAGGGATATACAAACATCTACATATATTAAACAGCGTATACTAAATTAAGAAAAATATATCTGTGAGTGGTTTTGTATTTCTCATTCCTGGTGTTTTTAAGAGCTTTGCAAAATTGAATTTCGAAACAACTTATCAATGTCAGATCTCATTGTGATACTCGTATAGTTACAATGTTAAAGTTTTGAATACAGTTTTTCTACAATGACTATAAATTACACAAATGTTTCGATTAAATTCTGTCAACGAAATATTTCATTCAAAAGTAGTTCAATTTTATCAGCGCCTTTGCAGTCACTGTTGGTGTGATGTTATTGTGATGATAGCAACAAATGGGATGATGTTCTACTGCTGTTATAAATATTAATACATACTCGCAATGCCTTTAAAGCGGTGCGGTACACATTTCTCTCTCTATGAGATGATGTGAAAGGCGGAAAAATGAACACTTTGGAAACTATCTACATTTTTGTAATTAAAAATGTTTGCGCATGAATGGTGCAAATAACACACAAAGCGGCTGACGCAACAATGGATGACAATGAATCCAGCGAAATGAAAGTGATGAACACTAAAACATTAATGTTTTTTTTTTAGTATGGAAGGCTGAAAAACAAATTCATTTAGCATTATCCTTATGCGTTAATCACATAAGAACTTAGTCTTGATATTTGCACAGCAAAACATTTTCCATATAATTAACATTATCATAATATAACTTCACATAACATCACAGTAAAATTAGTATAAGAATTACGACTTCAATTATCTGACCAGTTATTCACTATTCGCTATAGTGACCCCAAAGCTAAAACTTGCGCAACTTTGATTTTCTCGAACCAAAAAGTGTTTTTATTAAATATAACTACTTTTTACTAAAAAGTCTTCAAAGAAAACTAACTGATAGATTTAGAAACACCTAAAGTACTTTTATCATACCATATGTCGACAGGTATAACAATCAATCCATATGTACCGCGTTCTTCAAACTAAATGAGTGGGTTTTTAAGGACAAAACAAAGTACCTTTTATCACACGGCATTAAACACTGCGTTCTTGCATTTTACACCATACGTTCCTGTCTATAACCACACAATGGATGCTGTTAAGAACTATATTTACCTAGAAACTGGTATTGACACCACCAATACCTTCATTCTGGAAAGCAAACGAACAATCACGCTTATTAATAAAATGGCTTCTTATTAATAATTCTCAATAGAAAAAATCTCCACAAAATCTTAAGTCCCACCTTTATTAAAAGGAACTATAATTCTAGATGAAACAACCAGCTGTATGAACTGCACTACGACATTTACATAGTTAATCTAATAAAAATCCATTAGTCACGCTGATTCAGACATACTGTGAGAATTGTTAATAACTATGTCCATATAGTATCCATATAAATTGGAATAATATATAAATTCATGAATAATGAAAATACGAGTACTCCCTTAAGCTAGAAAGATCAGAGGTACTATATAACTCGCGATACAGTCGAAACAGTCGAAGTGATTAGGAGAGACAGATATATGTACTTTTGCAAAGGCGAATTAAGTAAATAAAAAAATTCAGTTCTATCTATCTATAAATCATTCACATAATATATATATCAACTCCGACATTATTAGACATAGGAAGCGATGCGTAATCAATAAATAAATAGTGGTGAATGAGAATAAAGACAGATAAATTCTTTTATCTTGAATTGATGGCATTGATTTATTTAAAAGATCAGCAAAAAATAACTGTTGCAAATAACTACGAAAATAATATACAGAGCTCTCATTCTGGACTAACAAAACTTACACTCCATAGGTCACTTGTTTAACCTGTGCTTCAATGTGAAGCAGAAAAGTGAACGTAAACACAGAATAAAAAAACCCTAAAGTGTTATGAAGAAAAATTTCTCGGAAGATACATAGACCTATACATATGGATGATAACTAACGTATAGATCAGTTTAAAAAACTTTATAGGTTTAGGAAAAAAATGAGACACCATACTTTTCGCTTGATTGAAAAATGTTCACTCTATAGGGTACTTATTCTATATTTATATTAGACGCAAAAACAAGCACGTTTTAATAAAAGTAGACCTTAATACCATAGACTGTAAAGTTTTTTGAAAAAAAAGAAGTTATTCGCAAGATCTGCAGATTTGTACGTGTACATGACAACCACTATATTGACATTTACTTGAAGCGGTATCGATGGCAAAATAGGTTTTCTTAATGGTGGTAGAAGATATAAGACGCAAAAGTCGTGACTTTGGTGGAATTGAGAGAATATTTACCCCATTTCGTACGGAACCCTGGCGATGGTACGTAGGAAACAGATATGGTTGAACACAAGTTCTGTACCGGTCCAAAACCCTCTAACCAAATGTTATGAGTTTGGTTTGACTTTGCATATAACGAAGAATATATACCTGATAAAGCACACCAACAATTTGTTATATGAATATATACATAAGTCTATAGATAACTCAATAAAGGACGAGCTATTATTATTAGGCAGGTATAAAGAAATAAAAGTAGAGGTGCTGTGTTTTCTTAAGCCAAATTTTTCTTTTCCTAAAAATCACTTAGAACTAATGAATTGTAATGCATTCATGTGGCTTGGCTTATATTTCTGAAGGATTTCTTATATTTTTAATGCATGCATTTACTCAGCGAATTAAATTTTTTTCCTTTTTTGTAAAGAGCACAATTTTTATTCATTGCTTTGAAGTAAATCCTTTGCTTTTCATGTTGCATTTGATGAAAGCATTTTGCTTAGTTGCAATCTGCAGTAGGCAGTTGGCCAGACAAGCAAACGTAATGAAACCCAACACAATAAGAAAATGCATTTCAGCAGAATTAAGGACATTTTCCATTTGCATTTAAATTGAGATTATCATTTTATTTGGCAGGATACAAAAGATTGCTATGAATTTCAGTTAAAGCATCTATAAGGCAAATATTAACAAAAAAAAAAAATATGCAGTAAATTGAATAAAAATAACGAGGGAACCATGTTGCGTTAACTTTAAATAATTTTTCAATTTTCTAATACATATTTTTTTCAATTAAATTTTTATATGAAAAAATATAGATGCACGATAATTTAGAAAAAACAAACAAGATAATTTTATTCTCAATTTAGAAATATAAACAAAATTCTACAAATCAATTGAAAAATGTTTTTTTATAAACAGAAATGAAGTAGTCTTTATAGGAAATTTGAATGAGTGTTAAATTTATTTACGATTGTATTTTGAACTTCAAAGCAGTTTTAAGTAAATAAATAAAAATAATTTTTGATATGCAAGTCATGCAGCTCATTACAATAGAATAACTCCACATTGCAACACAGCAGATACAATAATTAATAAACAGAAGACACCCAAATTGGAAGCCCTTCTTTGTGATTATGAAAAGAAAACAATATGTAAGTATTTTTTCATTGAGCAATGCAGTGAGCGAGCGGCATATTAAGCAGTTCGTCCGTTCAATTAAATAAATTTTACGACTTCTCCGCAAAGTAATTAAGCATGCCAGCCCCACATCGTAACTATCTTGCGACAAAGAACGAATTGCTTTGCTTGGACTTGATGCAGCGCCCGCATACCGGAGTGAATAGGAAAGTACAACCACAGATGCATGGAAGCAATTAAACAATACGACAAGTTAAACATAAGAAATTACAAATAAAACCAAAAAATTTGGTTGACAATAAAAAGGAATTAGAATTTAATGACCACATAATGACCAGTGGGAACCTTCTTTAAAAGCAGTGTAGAACCAGCAGAAAAAAGGCTTCATTCCCATGACTTAAATAACATAAAAATAATGCCTGAAGAAATTTTTGCATGAAATCAATTAATAGAAGCGACTAACCATTTATAATTCTTAGCTACTAGAACCCGGTGTTGGTCAGAGACTTTTGTACAGCAGTTCAACAAATAGTGTCTGACCGGTAATTGTTTGTCCTATATAAACATTTAAACACTTGATTACTTAAGGATCGTTAATTCTTTCACAAATTACCTCTTATATATACAGTTGAAAGTCTTGATTTCCTCGTTCGGATGTTCAGAATTCATGAGTGTGCTTGTACTACGTACGTCTAGTTATTCCTCGCTTAAGAAGTAAGAAGTGCTTCATGTATCTATCACACTAAGATCAATTTATTTCAATTGCTACAACAGCAGCAATAGATAACCTCTAAACATGTATATGATAGATAACATGAAAGGGATTATAAATACGAAGACATGGATTACATGAAATACATGTGTAAAAGGAGTGCGAAAGGAGAAAGGATTGTTTGAGAACAAGAGTGGAATAAGAGTAGATTAGGAGGAATTAAAAATTAATGGATTTTAATTGATGCTTATCTGAATCAAGACAAAGAAATCTAGACACTTCATTGAATCTTATATAGTAGTTTCGAACTGATAAACGTAATTAAAGTTTTCAGCTCAGATTTAATTTATGTTTCATTTAACTTAAAATTTTACTAACAACTTCAAGTCGTAATAATACCTCGACCGTAAAATAACGTTAGTAAACTTTTCAGGCTGTATAGTAACAATTGTGGAAATGTTCAGATATCTAGCTCACTTCAAAACCAAACCAATTAAAACTATATCTATTAATTATGAACTTAACTATAACAGCAGCGAAGTAATTTTTTACAAATAACTTAAAAAACCAAAATTTTTGATTTGTAAAAAAAATGTAAAGACTTGTTAAGCTAAACGATAGAGTAAATAGTTGTATTATAGTAGAAATACGTAATACATATATTTAAGTTATAATCTTAACATTTTAAATTAATATCTTTGTATAATATAAATAGTTGTATGACTAGCTGTGCGTTTTGAATTTTATAGATCTATCCATAGATGTATACATTATATACAGGGTTCAACGAGATTTGTATTAAATTTTTTACTATTGAATAAGTTTTAACATATAAAGAAGATTCCAATAGACATTTTTTGCGAAATTATTCTTTCATGTTGTTTTAGTTTTTTTAGTTATTTCCGCATATTTAGTGCAGCCAACTAGCACTTTTTTTCACTTTTTTGATTCTGTTAGCTATTACTTGTCACTGATTTGTTTTTAATGTATTATTGAAGCACTAATTGTCTCCGTAAGTGGCATGAATTATTTACTTTGTAATTCATATCAATTAAAAAATTAATCTATAATATTTATTCATTTATTCATTTTTTATACTATTGATCTGTCCGTATTGAGATGATTGTTTAGAGTATATAAACTCATTATTTGATTATTATTAATTAATTTCAATTTAATTCATTAGTATTTTTAATTACAATATACATATAGGAAATATAATTATTATTTTAATTTAAGAATGATTGTAGGATTATGAAAATTTATTATAAAATTTTATTCCGTTTCAAATAAAAATTATAAATTAAAAAAATTATAAAATTATAATCATAAGTAATTGTATATGCTGATAAATGAGACTAAAAAATTAATTGCGTTTATTGCTATTCTTAGTAGATATTTCCTATTATGACTATTATTTATAATACTGTTTTAAAAAACATAATTCAACATAATTTAAATATAATTATATAAATTATAATTAAATTATAATTATATAATTAAATTATAATTATAATTGTAATTATATAAATATAATTACAGCAATTATTATAATTGTAATTATATAAATATAATTACAGCAAATTATAATTTAATTACCATATATAATTATAATTTAATTAAAATTTATATAATTATATTTAAATTATGTTGAATAAAGTTTTTTTTATAAAAGAGTATTATAAATAATAGTCATACAAGGAAATATCTACTAAGAATAGCAATAAACGCAATTAATTTTTTAGTCTCATTTATCAGCATATACAATTAATTATAATTATAATTTTATAATTTAATTTAAATTTAATTTATAATTTTTATTTGAAACGGAATAAAATTTTATAATAAATTTTCATAATCCTACAATCATTCTTAAATTAAAATAATAATTATTTTTCCTATATGTGTATTGTAATTAAAAATACTAATGAATTAAATTGAAATTAATTAATAATAATCAAATAATGAGTTTATATACTCTAAACAATCATCTCAATATGGATAGAGCAATAGTATAAAAAATGAATAAATGAATAAATATTATTTGACCGTATTAACATAATTGTTTATATTTATAATAAATCATTTGATATATTTGTAGCAGTCTTATTTAATTTATAGTATCAACAATTCAATTAAGCTGATTTGTAACGGCAAAAAAAATTAAATAATTAAAGTGGAAAAAGATGATTCATTCAATCTTTGCTCTTATGGCTAAATAAAACGGAGAGAATCAATAGTTTTTTATGCAATACAATAGAAACAATTCTCAAATAAATATTATTTATAATAATGAATAAATAGAAGATTTATAATATTTATAATATAATATTTAAATTTATTTGCATGTCTTAAGAAAACAATGAACTGTTGAACCAATTAAGGGTTTTTAAGGGAATAAAGGAAAATAATTTGAGATTGATCTTTTCTATGAAACGAACCCGTAAGCTTGAAGATTATGCTGAGAGATAGTAATCTGATATCCGATGAGACAAATTTATATTGGGCGTACACTTAAAATTGATGCTTATAACGGAGCTACAGTTAAAAGACATGCTGATTTAAGGGATTTCCGTTTCATTATGTCGTCGGCAGGATTATATGCAAAACGAGGGCCATAGATAAAAACACAGTATGTCATATATGTGTTACTTAGGGAAACATAGGAACTTTTGACCGATTGTTGTGGGACTAAGCACAAGCACAACTTAAAAAACACTGATCCAAGACTTATAAGAAAAGTGTTGTACCAATAATAACATTATTTATATCATAGATACTCAGGACAAAGGATCTAGCAGCCCAGTTCCTTATTCTTAGTTAACTTTAAATTAATTTTAATATTAACTCATAAATAAATAAATATTATAGTTACTAACTAATAAAATCTTATATATTGTATTAAATTTATAGTTTTATATTTTGGATAATAAATATATCTAATGTAATAGATACTTAGGAAATCTTATATTTTTTATTAATTTTATAGATTTATATTTTTTAAAGGTCCTTTTAAATAAAGTGATATAGAGCAGCATAATTAACAGAGACATGGGCAAATGTAGCACATGATAAAAATAATTAAAAGTACTTTATGAACTTTATGAGCTTAACTTTTTAAATTGTTTATTATTGAACATATTGTTAAAAATAATAAACAATATTTACTTCCATCGGAAATATGTGTATATAATAAATATTTCTATCAAAATTAGGGAACAACTTATTTATTTATGTCACATGTTAACACAAAATTTGTAAGCAACTCATTTATTTATATATATAATTTCTTCTTAATATATTTAATTTTTTTTTTTATTGCTTATAGTTTAAAATTATATTCACATCGAAACAATATTTGTGGTTTAGCAAACGATTTGCGAGAATTTTATCTACATTTAGTGATATTGAGTCATAAAATAAAACAAAACAAAACATTTAAAAAATTAAAAAAATAAGAAAAATGCTTAACAAATCTGCGAAATAAAAACAAAAGATTTTATTGATTTGAAAGGTAAAAATTTCAAAAATTTTGAACACTAAAAATTTGTAAAAAAATTTTTAATTTTCTGCCCTGTCGAATTTTGTAAACAAACGCGCTGGACGTGCCGAATAAAGTAAATATTTATTTTTAAAGAAACTACAACGCAAATGTTAGGTGCGAAATGATAGGAACCAGAGCGGAAGCAGTGAGTAAAACAATGGCAAGTTAATTGTGGAGATTTAAAAAATTACACAAGAATCTACAGACAAAATTTGACGCAGTTACTTGTGAGGCGTCAATGAGTATTTCAAAATTATAATGAATAAATATTATACATTAATTAAAAATGAACATTAATGCTAAAAGCGATGATTACTATTAATTTATTATTTAACTTACAATAAACTAGAGTTGTGTAACATTTGCACAATCTCTCCAATCTGATGCAGCTTCTCTGTGGGTATGTGCAGCCAGTGGTTAAAAGCCAACGACAATTGCGACCGAAATTGTTTGCCAGGAATTTGCTGTATATAAGTAAACGGCTGCAGTAAAATCTAAATATAGACATTGAAACAATGTCATATTGATAAGAAAAAATACAAAAATACAAATATTTAGTTAATCCACATATTTTAATTAAAGGACAAAGTTTACCTCATCCTGTTCTTTCTGTGTGGATTGATCTTTTGTTTTCTCAAGTATACTATTTAGTTCCTCCATAATATTACTAATTCGTTTATTTATTTATGAATATAGAACTTTTAAACACAATTACTATAATTTTATGCTAATATATATATATATATATTTCTTCCTTTCAGTCTTTAAAATTCCTTTGGCTTAATTAAGGCAAACATATGCAATTTGCAATGTGTGCAACAATTGTCAGCGGTTTACTTGCAGTTCAGCAATTTTACAAAATTTGATACAAAAATTTACTAGCTTCGTATTGCACTTGATCTTTCTACAATTTACTGTTATCGTTCCAGTCTTCTATACTAAACTGATACACTGTCGCTGAAGTAATACTCCAACTACCATAATTACAATGCTGACTGTGTAAGGCCAATATTGTAAACAATGTCAAGAACAGCTGGTTTGACTTAGTACAGCGGCTCATTTCTTTATAATTCCGTACAATAACACACATTTCGCTCTAAAAGCTAATTGCATATGATTTTTGCTGATTGGAAAATTTTCAGTAAATATGCATGCATGTGAATATACGTACATAGAAATATTTAAAACTAAATAATATTCACTTATAAATAATAATTTACTGAAGGCGCTAATTCTTTGTATTATTTGTACTGAACATTCAGATGCAATGTGAGCAAAATAATGGAACACCGTCACAAAAAATAATTCAACAAAATATTAACTTTGAGGATCATTTGGTGCCCTTTTTCGAGCAGTTAGTGTGCCCATATGGATCTTCAAGCTTTATTTCAGGCATAAGATAGATTCTAATATTATAGTACAAAGAAAAGCTATTGTGGCAGTATTAAATTATTAAAAAATATGCATATATGAATATATATAAGAAATTATAAATACATATAAATAAATGCGAAATCAGCAATCTTTTGCTGTCATTGCGAATATGTTATATTTTTTTTTGCTGCTCAATTGCGTTACATACTTAAAAAACTATATACATATGTATAAAAAACATCAATGTAACAAGTTTTTACTAAAAACTGCACGAGAGTTGACGTTGAACTCGAATGGCACTTAAACTTTAGCGCTTAACCCTTCATAAACTCTGCCATAAGTCTTCTTTTAATTTTGCTGTCAAATTCTTTTATTAAGTTTAGTGCAAAAACTATATATTAGAATGGTTTTTCTTAAATTAGATGTTATTGAAAGATGAAAATATCTACAATACAATACTTTTGTAATCAGAGATAACTGAGTTATTGTATAACTACCTAACTTACTGCCAAAAAAGGATTATATTATTTTAACAAATGTTAAATAAATTAACTTTATCTCAATAGTATGTGTAAAATTGTGATGAATAGGAATGTTAAACAATGAGGGGTTATCTGAATGAATATTTCTATATAAGAACAGGTTTTGAGCTTCTTCCGATCTTTTCGTGACTTTCTTAAAGTTTATACAAATGGAAGCGATGGAAAAATGGATACATTTCTGAGTGTACCGCAGCGTACCGTGTCTTATCAGCGTGAATAGCCTTGTGGTGTCTTTACCCTACCGGAACAATGTGTGTAAGCTTTCAGAAAAGAGACTGTAAATTTTTAAGTCCTATTTTGCACTAATGATGGAACTGATATATAAATATTGATTGAAAAAAGGAAAATATATATAGCGGAGACGCTACTGTACGAAACAAAAACTATTGATGCTTTAAATAAAATAAATAATTATTATAATCAATTTTGATTATAGTTTTATTATATGTTAGTAAATTTCTCGCTTATATTTAATTGTGATTTATTACAAGGTTCAATATTTTAAACATAATACATACATAAACTCTGGTATACATAAAAATAGTAATATGTATATCAAATATGTTATTATAACTTTTTTTTACATATTTTTATAAAAAAAAAACTTTTATTTAGTTTTATTTCATACTTCTATGAAATAATTTATAAATATGTATATCAAAACACTAATGCAAGATTTGTTTAATCTCAAGTAACCAACAACGAAAATAAATAAAATTATAGAAACTTTATGATATATAAAAAACAAATTTTATTCAATTAGCTTAGTTTACGTATTTTAAAGATAATTTGTATTATATTTTTAATAAATATTTTATATTATTTTCGTATTGTACAAATTCCATAACAATTTTCATGCACATTTCAAAATTTGACAGTCACTAGAACAGTTGCAATGATATTGGTTTATGCTTTGTTTTATGAAACACAGCTCAACGACGTGTCAAAACTAGATGACATTTGTCAAAATAGTGCATTCCGTGGTTAAAATTTAATAAGTATTAGTTTAAATAATAACTAAAATAATATTTTATTAAAATAATTATGGCAGCATCATTACCTGTGCACACGAATTGGCATCCGAACAAAAAGCATAGCGACGTTGAACGGTAAATAAATTAACAGTAATTATAACAACAACAAATTCAAGAACTTTCATTTTCAGCTGGATATGCATATACCCAGCCTATATAAATAGCAAAAAAACCAGACAAGAAGGTCGACGTTTATCAAAGGAGAATTGTGTTGAGAATCCAACGTATGTTGAAATACGTGATGTGCTATCTGTAACTAATTTACGTGTTGGTGTTGAAAATAAACAATATTCAAGAGAAAAGAGCAGGGTACATCATATATACATAAAGATTATTATTAAAAATTAATGACTACTCCAATATATTCCATTTAGGAAGTTCAATTTCGCGGTCGCATACGTGTTCAAATGCGCAACGATGATGGAAGTTTGTGCAACCCCGAATTCGAATCACGCGAAGCTATAATGCGTTATGTTACTGACAAGATACCACAATTGAAGTCGCGTCAAAATAAAACTGCCGATAGTTTTCATCAACCACAGGCACAGCAGACTGGAGGCGGTGGTGGTGGTGGTGGCAAGAAAGGCAAAAATAAGAAACGTTGATTTTATCGAAAATTTTATTTTGTTAAATGGATTTTGTTATAATTGCTTTTTATACTTCGATGTGCTGAAAATGTAAAATTTTGAATAAAAATTGAATTATGTAAAGGAGAATATGGAAGTCAGTACATTGGTCAATACTTTGGCAGTCAATACAGATAAATAGCAATAATTAGAAGTACATAAATTTATAAAGGACAGGAGGCACAATATATAAATATAAAATAGTTGAAGCAATTGTCTAATAAGAAGCATATTATTCCCTTCTCTATAAATTGATTATGATATGTTACAAGATTTGAAATACAATTATTCAAAAATAACAGGACATCTACTGTAGTTGAATTCCAATCACTATGAAAGGGTTATCAAATTCCCCAAAAATTTGTTTATATCCTCAAAGATATTCATCATTTCAAATATAGTGAAGTCACTAAGATTGTATTTTGTCTAATTAAGAGGTACATATATTATTTCAAAATACGATAAAATTATGAAAAAATTTATGTATAATAGAAAGACATACACTTTCGATTTGTTTAAAGAAAGCTTTGAATTGTGTTAAGAGTAACTTGGAAGATAATGTATCCAAAACATTATATCTGCTATCTAGCAACTACGTATCATTACTTGTGAGTTCTCCAAATTACTTCAAATTGTATAATCAATCATAAAGTTTATTATTTATAGTTATAACTTCCTTCTCCGCAAGTATACGTCTAGCACCATCGATTTCTAAATTAGTCATTCTTGTGATATGGTAACTGAAAACAATTCCTATAAACGTGAATGAATAATACCCAAGTATATGCAGATCAATTTAAGATCAATTTTACTGTCACATCTTAAAAGTGACTTAAGTATGAATGTTGTGTGCAACGCTGCTGACTTCACTTAAGCTAGTATTATGATAAAATTTTCCTTTGTAAAACCAGATCTTGTTTATTTATGTTCTTCAATAACCAGTTGTCCAACGTTTTAACGTTTCCGGCAGTTAAAGCCCATGTTATTACCAACGCTTGTAGTAATAAATGTGAAAACGTAGATGTTACTAAACTACTGCTTTATAAAAGTCAAACCATATTAAGAACTTCCAAAAGTTATTCTTAAGATGCTATAAGTACAACACAAACCACCTTGAAACTGGACAGTAGAAATCGAGAGTGTCACATAAAATATTATGAAGAAGGAAAACGATTATAGTTCTGTTTTTATATAGTAAGAAACATTATGTTTCATATATAATTTTATAGAAACACTAGTGTTTCTGACTAGTGACTGTCAGTGTCTGGCTAACACTCCGGCAAATTCTTTTACCATATAAACTTAGTTAAGCATTTGCACGTCCCTCTATGCAAATTTTCAACCTTTGCAACCAAATTCGTAATGAGAACGTGTAAATCTTTATTGTTTACAAAAGCACCTACAACACACATTATAATTTTCAAGAGCACCAACCACTGCCAGATAGCAGGCAAAGTTGCTGGTTCAGCACTTTCTGAAGAATTTTGCTGACTTTATTATATTCACAAAAAGATCTAAGCTTACTACGGTTTTAAACCACAAAAAACAAGTAAAAGAATAACTGTCATATAAAAATTCATTACTGAAAATTATTTAACAACCAGCAGTTTTTTCTATATAAAAATCAACCCACTAACCGCAAAGCCAGTAATCAGATTAAAGCTCATGAAACGATCAAGTCAATCTATCTGAGAAATATATTTGAGATGTCTTTATCATCGCCCAACACAGCACCAATGACCAGCTTACGTTTTTGGATATTAACAGTAGGACTGCTTGCGTTATGGACTGTTGTCATCACAAGTGCAGAGTCACAGCCGCAGACTGCAAAATCAGCCATGGCAATAGTCGATAAGGAGAAAGAACAGAAGAATACACGCAATTGCAAAGCACTCTGCGGACATTGTGGCTGTATTGGCTTCTACTGTGGCGAGGAATGTATCTGCGAGTGCAACAAAGACAATTCCGATACCGAATGTTTAGTAACGATGCAGAAGAATGCGCGCAAGTTGAATATACCATTTGAGCTGCTGATACAAGGACCTACAGCAAATAAGTTTGTACGTACCGCCTTACAGTACGAACAGAATGCAGAACGCAGCGCCAAAAATCGTGACAGTATACGCAATAAACGTTCCACCGTTGTTATTTACAAGCCAACGTTGCAGAACAGTTTAGACGACAACAGCGCACAGAAGTCAATAGTCAAGAAGAAGTTGAAGAATATGCGAGAAAAACGCAGTGTAGGTAGACTGGATTGGTTTCAGGATTTTGCAAACACTTTGGTAAGACCTGCGCCTATTGGTATACAGAAGAAAACAGCAGAACCGGAACCGAGTGAAGATCAAACAATGCTAAAACGTTCAACAGAAAAGTTAGACTCCTCCTGGTTTGCAGAAAATACAAAAAATTTATTGAAACCAGCGCCGCTTTTTAAAAATCGAAACAGTGATGATGATGATGAATCTTTTGAGAGTCCTGGTGAGAAGATACCCAAAATGCTGCAGGATACGTTGCGGTCAATACATGAAACAGCACGCAGTGAACAATTTGCTGAAGCTGTGCGTTCTAGAATCAAAGAAGGGGTTGACATATTTCAGGATCAGTTACAGCGAAATAATTTGAATATTTTACCAAACAATTTGGGTGAGAATATTGTCGATACTATCTCGAATGTGCGTTCGAATATCTTTCGTAATGTCATTGATGGACAAACCAAACCAACTATTCCAACACCTACCGAGCCACCGGTAAAGTACATCATACCTTGGTTCCGTCCTATGCGTTTTCTGCATCGTGTACAACAGGCCATCAAATAAGATTTAAGTAATTTATATTAAATACGAGTATTTAAACATTCATACAGTAGCATTTTAAGTTAATTTAGTTCATGTTTTGTGAGGTATGCATTGATTGATATATTTTCTATATATGTATATTTGTAAACTATACTTTAGATAGTGGATAGGTAGAATTGTATTTTTTGTTGCACACTTCTATTTCTTTTTAAATTTAAATAAAATGATGCAATACTAAAACATATTTTTCTCCAGATTTTTTTATACCACTAACAGTCTAGTAAATAAAGCAGACTTCATAGATGGACTGAATATGTTTTTAATCAATATGATAAGACAAATCACTTAACGATGTATTGTTTTGTTAAGACATTTGTTAAGTAGTTAAAATTAGCATAAAGCATTTGTTAAGATCAATCGATATCAGAAGATATAGACGATCTTATAAACCATATAGATTTTAAATCTTCATGCTAATTTGAAATAATTTAGACGTGCCGATTAATGATGTTTATCTGTCTTTATTGTATATAAGTTTTGTTATGATATTTGGTGACCAACAAAGAAGACGTCGAAGATCATACAAGCCGTATAGATTTTCGATCAGTATGGAAAGACAACCCGATTCGATAATGTTTGGAATTATCATTATTATATATAAACTTTGTCAAAATATTTTTAAAGCATAGAAGAAGATATCGAGACTGTATAAACCACACAGATTTTTTATCTACATTACAAGATGAAACGTTTTAGTTATAGTCGACTTTCTGGATGTCGGTACTTCACTCTTTAACTAATCGAAACTTGATTATAAATAAAATTAATGGAGCCTATCATGTAAAATAGGATAGATTAAACTGCTTGCTAAAAAGATGCCATGCATAGACCAACAAGTCGGTACCAATACCGATACGAAATATGGCTGATTCTATTATTTAACATCCATAAAAATAATTATCTGAAAGTACGTTGTGTTTATAATAATTTTCTTTGTACTTATATTAAAAATTTTAATTTTAATACATAACTGACAAAATTAAGTTAGTAAATACTAATATATGTATGAAGGGTAATACAGATTCGGTATAGCCAAAACAAAATTTTTTTGTTTATTTTTATTTAATCTCAATGTTAAAACTTTACTAAGAATGTGATTAAACATATAAATTATATATGAAGGTTAATATGTTTATACTAAATTATTCTATATATTGAATTAAGTTGGTAGCTTCAAAATATCACGTTCGTGGTTTAGATATTGTGCAGAATTTCAATAAAGACAACAAATATTGGGATATATGTTTTTGTATTTCAGTGGCCTTTCTTATGAAAAAGATAAGACGAATCAAATATAACAAGTTTTTCGTTTTTTGGGTCGTAGGAACCGATAACTCTAACCCTGAAATGAGGCTATGACATTTGTACTCTAAAATTTTTACAAACTTTTGTGAATGAAGTAAAAAATTTATTTTATGATTCGTAAATGGGTCTACATGTGGATCAAACAGATATACCAAATAGGAGCGGAAATACCAATAATGAGAACACCGCTAGAGACTATATTTAAACGTTAAGCTATTTGTAAAACTCAGGATTTTATTTACGTACTTTAGAAAGCTTTCATACTCCTGTAGAATTACTCCTAAATTCCACCAGTTGTAAGAAAACTGTCTACTCGTACGTGTTTTAATATCCTAAGTAACTCATATCAGCAATTATATAAAGAATCGAGATACGATTTCCAAATAAAAGCTTCGTCAGTGCTGCTAATAGGTTGTTTTAAGATTAGGTTATGCTAGTACATCAAAAAGGCCACGCGTAGATCATTAAGGTCCATTGCGATGCCAGATCAGAGTCTTAATTTTTTTTTAGCCCTGACAGGTCCCAAGTTTTTTTGGTCGAGCCCTCAAGAGAACCAATCAGGTTGTCTTAAAAAGTACGCAACAAATATTATAGGCGCCTGACAGAACAATAATCAATTCCTCGGATTATCTTAATATATAGCCTCTTTTTCTTTTGATAGAGCAGATCAAACCAAAACATGTTACTGAAAGATGACATTGGGCTTTTAGAACCATCAAGTTTTGAGGAAGAATATACTAATATTTTCCCAGGTACTGACAAGGACTTGAATTATGTTAAATCTAATAGTTCATATATTTTAAAATTAGATGAAGAAATTAATAAAACTTAATAAGAGTTAATTACGATTACAGAAAATAGGTTAAATTATTAACCATTTTGAGTTATTATTCCCATACCAACAATCAAATATAATATAAAAAGGAATATAGTTTTTAACTTCTAAATATGCTTAATCGCAAATGCAAATTAAATGATAATAAAATAAAAGCATATATTCACATAATCAACGGTCTGTATAAGAAAATTTTAGTATTCTTTCATAAATTTATTTAGCTGAAATATAGCATAAATTTGTTTAGGGTTATATATAATTTATGTTCAACAAATATGCTAAGGGTACATATTAAATGCATTCTTCGAATTTGTGTCAAATAAATTGTCAACCTGCCTATTCTGCTACAACAAAAATACTCAATTTTACATAAACTTTAGACACATACAAATTAATTTTCTTATACTTCCGTGACTATGCAAAGATAACACACAAATCACTAACACTTTGATGTCCCCCCCACATCTCACTTTTATTCTACTTAAGTTAAAATTTGAATGTATTAATAATTGGGCCGAAATCCCGGCGGTACTGCAATACCGGGCCAACCCGCGGCAGAGGTGGAGCAAGCTCCTAAACACTCCGCCTGTTTCCAAAAATCAGTTTAACATTTGTTGTCCTCCGATGGAGGATCTATCAGATGTTAAGCTGATAAGAACAGATACTACACTTTGATCTTAGCCATAAGGCCGAGAAGCGATAACTATTCACTCAAATTTACAACATGTCATTCAAAAATATTTCATACCCGCTGAGAATTATAAATATAAATTGTGTCAAAAATAATATCTATCATATAGAACACAAACATCTGTAGTAAAACAACCACCGCAATTCCTCATATGTGTGTTGTTATGTATGTTGTGTGCTCTTTAAATTTATTTCACAGTACAAACGGGAATGTTTGATGAGGTATGCATGCTTATAATCAGAAAATATTTTCATTGTTTATAATATTATGGTTGTTGTTGTTGTTTGTGGTTGGTTCTGACATTTAATCAAATGTATAAATAAATTAATTAGTAACATTTAGTTTTCATATATAAAAATTAGTAGTGATAATTGTTATGTTTAATATCACAATTTATTTATTATTTAATAGTATTAAAGTTTTAATTTAATTGATTTTTTTGATAATTTGATGAAACTCAATTTATTATTAATAGTATAAATATTTATATATTTATATAATTACATATGTGTACATATGTATATATTAGAATAATTATAATTAAATTCTCTTATAATATTAATAACATAAATATTGGTAGTTTTGCAATATTTGATAATAAATTCATATAGTTTTGCATACAAATGAGAGAGGTTTATTTATTTAATACATATTAATATTCTATTAACTATTAATATATTATTATGCATATTTCTTTTACTATACATTTTGAACAACTTGTATTTTATATATTAACATGCACATACATATGTTTATATAAATTGTTTAATAATTTATTTAATATTTGCTCATGCTTTATATTAATTCATGCCATGAGTTCTGTCAAAATTGTATGATTGCCATCTTCCGGTATATTTGAAAAAAGACTGATTCTGTTTATTATATTAATAACCTAAATTAATGCTACAAGCTTCAATAATAAAAAGCACTTTTATTTTACATTTTATATATCTCTATGTGTTTATTTATACATATCATATCTGTACAAAAATATCCACGATATGTATGTGTGCTCTAATAATATATATATGTAATAATATATGTAATAATATATATATATAATATAATATATGCTGTTAGAGTATTTTTATAACGCGTTATAAGCCAACAATTATCAATTAATTTCTACGAGTATTAACTAATTATATATCAGTCATATTTACAAAATCTAAATTAATATACATACATATTTAAAAAAATGATGAAATACATTTAATTTCAAATTAAAAAAAAATTTACTACATAAATTTTAGATATTTATGTACACATATAATATACACATTATTAAAATATCTGCAAAAATAACTATAAACTGTACACTCTAGCAAGTTTAATGAATTTCAAGTGTTATTTAAATTATTATTTTAGTGCCATGGCAACTCTGAACTTATTACTTCTTTTTTCATGCGCTATCTGAAAGATGCGGTATATGAGTTCAAACATTTATGTGTTTTAATAGACGTGTATGTGTATTCAAAGCTTTGAATAGCACTGCACTGCTGCTATTTCATGTTTTTCAGACAACTGGTCAAATTGAAAAATATCAAAAATTTCATTCTTGGGTCAAATGGTTGTAACAATGTCTACTAACGAGTTACATTGGCATATGTAAATATTCAATTCACACATGAAGTATATCCCACAACGTCTTTGGCGAAGGGTGTTGTCTCCAAATACTTTAATAGAGTCTACACTGTTTTACTTTCTTAATTGCAGTATATAATAGTACTATGTAGATTACATATATTGATATTATTGACAATAACAATGTAAAATGTATTTGTATTGGATTATGCTATTATTTTCTTAAAAACAAAACATTGCATTCATTAATAATAAAATTTTAATACGAATACTAAAAAAATGTATACACTGTCAAGCTTTCATAACTTAAACTTCTATAACTCGGAACTTAATAGAGTGCAACAGATTTTAGAAAGCAAATCACAATAACAAAAAAATTCTTTAACTTGAAGTCTTTATAAATCGAACCTTTTCTTTGCGAAATGGTACTTCGAATTATGGAAGATTGACTGTATGTATGTATAATGTATGATTTAAAATGTAAGTAATATATAAATACATATTTGACAACACATACATATGGATGTATGAAAGTGTGTATATTAGATCGATTAATTTAAAAATATATATTTCCTTTATCTGCACAATAAAGCTATTTGCTGTATACATATATGTATGTATGTTAATGTTACACTTCAGAGACAATATACTCGTATGTGAAATAGTTCGCAATTCTTAAATAATTTAGTTTTAGTATTGTAAAAATACGATAAACCTAATCACAGCACCGGAAAAAATAACAACACAAAACACATAATCCACCCCTCCCTCGTTGGTTCTCAAAGACAAACAATTATTGCTTAAGGCTTTTGCACTTAAACTGTTTTTATATGACAGTTGACAAATTTACTGCATATCTAAGTTGGTACGTAGTACTTACTATGTGCTGAATACATCATATTTTATACACATTATTGATCATAATTCGTAAAAAACATTTCAAATTTTTTTCGTGTTTTACTCTATTTTTAAAATATTTTCCATATAATACATTTAACAATAGTATTCATTATTAGTAAATAATTATTATTAATAAATAATCATTCCATGTACAAATAAGTATATGTTATGTTAAATGCTACAGTAATGTCGTTATTGCTAAAAGTAGGGTACACGTATTATGTTGTTTGTACGATGTGGTGGTTGAAGATAGCATATATAGTGAGACACAAATATAATTCTCATCGACTTGTTAATTGGGTTTGTTTAAAATTCACGTGAAAAGTGTTTGTAGTTACTCTGGCTTCTCTTCAGTTGTCGAATAAATCTTTCGCCTTTTACTAAAGATTTCCGTGGAGAGGAGCAATTTAATGAGTCTAAAATGAATTTTTTGTTGCGCCTAACCGAAAGGTTGGGCCAAAATGAATACATTCACTGAGTAGTAAATAAGTAATTAGTAAGCGCTCTATCTATCACTCGTAAGAGGGGAGTTGTTGCTGTTGAGTCGGTAGTGGGAACAAGATAATATCTTTTCTTAATGAAAACTTCATTGGTGGGAACATAATGGGTGCTTATATGCAGTTTTGCTGTCGTGATATAGGGAGAAATTGTTGAACAAATAATGCTTGGATTTTTGCAGATAGAGGAAATGTATTCGAAATGTAGTGGTGGTTTTTACGCTGTCTCTGCCAATATAGAACATATTGATAAATCAAGAGTTAGATTCGATTTGTACCTGTTCAAGCATACGATATGGAGGTTTCTGTATTTTAATTTCGTTTTATATAGCAGGTTTAATCACATCTTCCTATAATTGTTCTTCTCCTAGTTTTAGATAGGAAATAATGTGCTATTTTATAAAAAAAATATTTAAAGATATATGTATGTATTAATATAATTTATCACTACTTATTTTGATATTGGAAATTATAAATAAATCCATATTAAATAAAACATATGAAATACATAGTAATAATTTATTGAATATATTATATTTTTGGACTTCAAATTCTCAAAGTCTAATTGAATTCAAATGGTTTATTTTGCAGACTTATAGTTACTGCATATTGCATTATTAAATAACATTTCAATTCTCATTTCATTTTATATTGGATTCTATTTATTCGATATTTACTATAGATTATATTATATTTACTTCACAGTTAAATTAATTTCAATACTATGTTCGACGTATTTTCTCAATTAAATCGGAGAACGAAAAAGATTTAGAAAATTTTCAATTAATAACTGTCTGTAATAATAATAATAATGTTGGGTATCCAAAAACTGGTTATTGACATCTTGACACCTAAGAAATGCATTTCGCAAGTGTGATCTACAGGTATATTCCAATAATCGTGATCATAATTCTGGAAATTTAAAAGTCAAAACGTCATGACACTGATCTCCAATGTTCTATAGCTTTAATTTATTCAACAAAAAAATAGATTTTCAGCAATTTTAATTAACAACTTGAATAATAAAACATCACATACATATCCTTAGCGTAATTCTTACAATCTAATACTGAAGAATTATGACAATGATCTGTAACTTCTGCCATTGATGTAGTAGATGTATTAACTATAGCCCAGTCTTGCGACTAGGCAGTTCAAAAACTTAGCCTCGGAGACTTTGGTCCTCTCCGCGGAAACTTTTGCTAAAAGTTAAAAGACTTATTCAACGTCTGAAGAGGAATCAAAGCAATGTTATCTAGTTCTCTGTTTTATTATGAACATAAGCAGTTTATAAGTTCATTGGAAATATATTCGATATTATATATAATCAGTTATGTATGCTTGTGAAGAACTTCCAACCAATTTTGTACCAAGTAGTAGTATTAAATGTGTTTATTCTATTTTTGATCATTGTGATAATGTTGTCAAGAATGCTTGCATACTTAAACTAAATATTTCTACTATTTTATTCGATCTGCTCTAAAGTCGGATTGCTTGATCACTCTTTGAAGTAATATGGTAATATTTCTAGCTAACTAATCGTTAATGTGGTATATAATTTTTTTCTTCTTTAAGAGTGAATGATCTTTGTGTTAAAGACATCATTATATATAAACACGTCATCATTATATGATATCATATCACTACTTTAAATTTAGAAATAACCATTCGATAAATATGGATTGAAAAAATCCATTTGTAGTTCAGAAGAGAAAACACCGCTTATATATCTTTTTGGACGTATTGCAGACATTTAAAAGGTGTCCAGAAATTTTCAATGTCATACACATGTAGTCGATAGTTTAAAGTTAGATATAATATCTTTATAACTATCTTTACTACTTAGGTGCCATAGTTATGTCTGCATATAAGCTCTGGAATTTCAAGCATCAGACTTTGCTAACATATAGTATATCAATATTGCAAAGGCATATGTACAAAAGATCTATTGTGGTCAAAGCACAGTTAACTTTAGAGTTGATTAAGATTTTAATATGTTGTTTTTTAACAACATATCACTACTTCTTTATATATTTAAAATATTAATTAAATATTTACACATAAGTATGTGTGCTTCTCGTCTTCGATGTAACGCGAGTTATTGTCTACATCACTTTTACACAATAGTGTCTGTAGCCACTTGGCTGATCCATTGCAACAAGAGCTCCGTTGAATTCTAATAAAAAGTTATTCAGGATAATTTACAGTAGTATAGTTCAAAACTGAGCATACATATTTCCTTGATGTAATTCTGAATTAGTGAGACCATTCAAAGAATCAACAAATTCCAGTTCAACCAAACTCTCAAGTCTTCATTTCTGATATACCATAGAGCTTTTGGGATACGTTTCAGAGAAATGTTCTGATAAGTTTGTGTGCACAATTATATTAATAATGTATTTGAGACCCTTTTTGAACTATGGAGTTCGATAAAGCCTTTTAGAATTTTTAATAAATAATTAATGAATGACCCCGAAAATGCATTACGCAGTAAGGATGCATATGGGTTCCGATAATGCGTCTACAGATTTCTGACTGTTAAAAAATAAACGGTAACATTAGACATTTATTGCATCTATGACTTATCAAAAATAAAATTGATGTATTAATTTCAGCCCAATCTTACGATCAGACATCTCAAAAAATTATAAGCCTCGGATATAGACTTCACGTTGACCCTCCCTGCGGAAACTTTTAGTAAAAGAAAAAAGTGTAACTCAACGACTGAGGAGAGATCAACGATAACAAATGCGGTTTTATGTTTCATTATAAATATGAGCGACTTATAAGTTCATGAGAATTATATTTGCTTTTTTCACATGCATGTACTTATAAAATTACCAACCACTTTTGCAATAAACAGTAAATTGTGTCTGTCCTACTTTTGATCATTCTCAGAGCAATATCAAAATACTGCCAACAATTTCAAACTAAAAGCTTTTATCCCGATAAATAAAAAAAATCTTTAAGCTTTGCTTACTCTGGGAAGTGTAATTGATATACATACACATACAACTGTATATTCATTGATTTCCTCATATTTGGAGTTTTTGCATATACAATGGCATTGCGCTTGGTTGGAAGTAACTTCGTGATAATTTCGGTTCTTAAAGCTATAAATATTATAATAAATTGTCTAAATAAATAATCAAAAGAGTACGCAGATCAGTCATAGAATAATCACGAAGCTTTTGAAGCATACATAAATTAGTCAGTGAGAAGGTTGGGAGTCTGCAGAAATTCCCCAACTATCAATGAGTAAAAGTGCCCAGATGCACTAACTCGAAAAGGACTCAACGTGAACATGAACTAATCAAATAATAATTTCTCTTTATTTTTAATAGTATAAAAAATCTACATTCATAGTTCATATATTCATATAGTTCATATATTATAGTTCAACTGATATTGGAAAGTTCATAGAAGAGAATAAAAAAATTGATTAAAGTGATGTGAATTAATCTCGAATCAGGAATGCATATATGAAAGCAATTATTACTAAGTGGATAGACCCTGTAAATCTATCAGAACTGATATTGAAAGGTTCATAAAAGAGTGTAAGAAAAACAAATGATTAAAGTGATGTGGATTAATTTTGAATCAGGAATGCAAGTGTGAAAGCAACCCTTACTATGTAAATTTATAAATGATTATGAAAGGTACATATAAAAACAAAAGCCTTAGAGAAATACGACTGTGTCTGTTGGTGGTCTGTGTAGAATTCGATGCAGATTCATTATTCATGAATAACTATATGATTGTTCAAATAGTCAGATAGTCAGTTGTTAGACCGTTAGATGAGATATGTAAACACTCGCATTGCCTTGTTGGAGATAGAGAATGATCTGACGGCGCTTGTTTTTTTCCGTATTTCACTAAAGACTTCGGGTAAAAAAATGTTTGTATATCATTCGGAATTGACCATTTTATTTAGTTTTACTCTGACAACAATCAGTGTTGCCAAGGTTCAAAATATAAAAAGTAACCCTATTATACCCAACTTTATCTATGTAGTCTTCCGTTAATTCCCTGATTCCCATATCGAAATGAAGACGCACAGTAAATTTTAATTAGTTTTTATTTATTTATTTATTAACTATACATAATTCTATAATACAATACAATTTTTAATATTAAAAAAGATAATTCGATATAAAATTGTTTTTGAAAAATTACAAAGTAAGAAAGTTTATAAACTTTGAAAGAGGAAGGAGGCAGTGCATGAGAGGAGCGAAATGCAGGAGGAATTTTAATTTTCAAAGTTGAACAAAGTAATTTTGTTATTCTTTAATGATTATCACAGTTTCATATATAAAAGTACAATAAATTGATTTCATATATTTTTTGTTTGAGCAAGAAATTTTAAGGAAAATAGCAAAATAGCTCGGAAAAAATAGCCTTTTTGAATTTTAGAGTCGAAGGATGAGTAGTAAAATTTTTCAAAATATTTCGTTAAGGCATCAAATTGGCAGTAAACGTAAAAAAATATTTCAGTAACAACGCCTTGTTAGGTTTAACTGTAAACGTAAAACTACTTAACAAGCTAAGAACTTAAAAAGATATTTTTCTGCATAAAAAGAAGACAAAAATCCTTTTAACGTACGATTGTGAGTATTTTTCAAAAACACTTTTGAAGTGCCTATGCGAATTTAAAATTAGTTAATTGGCAGTTTCGTTTTGTCAATAGTTCTGAAACTTAAGAGTTAGGGAATTTTAAAAACTACGAAAAGAAAAAATTTAACAATTTTTAAATTAAATTTGTAAGATAAGTTTAAGCTTAGGCTGGAGCTTCTGTTGGTTCGTGGCAACCCTCTACGTTTTCGGGCCAATCGCACACATTTTCCTTTGGATTGAACACTAAGTTGGCGGGACATGGCATGTGGTGTTTACGTTCTCCTTCGCACATGAAGTAATGTGTGCAGTCATTCCAATCCTTGTGATAGCTTATATGACCGTCTTCCTCTTCGCAAGTAACCTCGTGAGCTAAAATTAAAAATTTTATCATTAATAAAAGTAGTATATATGGATGCTGTAAAAAATACTAGGAAAGCTAGATTGAAGTACCAACTAAAGTACTTAAAATATGCAAGATATCCCACATATTGACTACTACAAATCTATATAGAGGTCTTGCTCCATCTGGTATCATCAGTAGGCTGATTTGTGGTTAATAATCAGCCAGGTTAACAGAAACTAACCTAATATCTAGACCCAATATCTAGGAATTGGGATCGTACAATATTTACTGTTTGGATAGATGAAGCAATGTTTACACAATTTTTACTTTTCAACATTTTTTAATCAAAAAACTAAAATTTTGACAACTTATAGGATAGCTACAAAAGGTCAAAGAGTACTTGTCGATTCTTTCCTACTAATACGACTTTATCCTACGCTATAATTAATTAATGGAATATGTCGTATTAAGAACGTTAATACATTTTCCATATATAAGATCTATGTATATGTATTTTACTTACGATTTTTAGTAGTATAAGCACCACGTGGTCCACGCGTTTCATAAGGTCCATCAAATTCTAATTCCACTTTATATCCTTTCAACTCATCGTTTAGCGAATTCAACAGTGGATATTTGCCACCACCACAACGTCCTGAAAAATCATCCATATCAATGGACCAAACCATAATTCCACCAAATCCTTGTTCTTTAAGCCATTCCATCTAAGCGAAATATAAAATTGTTATTCAAAAAATTATTCAAAATATATAGTTTCATTAGTTAATATATAAATATATGATTTTTATGAATTTATATCTAACCTTTGTTTTCAGTGAACGTTCATCATCAAAACCAACCCATTGATTTGCTCTATAAGCGAATGGTACTTGTTGTTCGGAATCCCATACCAGAGTAGTATTCTCAGCAGCAAGGAAAGTACACACTTCATAATAACTTAAGAAACCTGATTCATTTGTAAATTTGCCTGGTCTACCACCATCTGATGCTGGCGCCCCAATATCAAACTGTGTTTCATTAACCAATTCGAATGTTCGTCCATAAGTGGGCATACCAATGAGAAGCTTCTCTTTTGGTGCACCTTGTTTAACCCATTCACGTGCGCTGTAATCCACTGTCAATTTCTTTTGATAACTTGTTGTGGTTTCTAAAGAGAAAAGCGGAGAATTGTGTCCAACTGTACGTTCCCATTGACCATGGAAGTCATAGGTCATAACATTAATAAAATCAAGGTATTTCGATATTTCAGGTACATCATAGCCAGCAGCGATTGCTTCAAATGATGCTGGTACAGCGGCTGTTAATAATAAACGTGGTTGTCCTGATGATTTTGCCTCACCCTCAAAAGCTACACGCAATTCACGTAATAAATTAACATATGCAGCACGATCGTCTGCACCTCTTGGATACTCCCAGTCAACATCTAATCCATTGAATTTATAATCACGCAAAAAGTCAATTGCCTCATAAACAAACTGATTCATGCGGAAGACATTTGATGTCAACTCTTTGAACGGTGTTGAGCCAAATGCCCAACCACCAATAGCCAATAAGATTTGCAAGTCTGGGTTTTCTTCACGTAACGCTATGAGGGCTTCATAGTTCTCTGGATCGTCATCAGAAGCTTCCGTTAACTTGTGATCCTTTAACGTTGCAAAGGCATAGACTAAATGTGTGCATAGTTTTGGATTGATGTTTGAAGCATCAAATTTACCAGCACCGGGCCGTTTAGCTGACCAGCTTGTAAGGTAGCAGAAAACTTGTGCAGGACGTGCTATAAAGAATTTTTCATTAGTAATGTATGTAATGAGTTACAGTTGCCAATAACTTACAATTTTGTTCTGTAGCAAGCAAGCCATGTTTGATTTTCTGTTTTTTCGATGGTTTGCGTACTTTGTTAAGGATTTCTTCAACAGAAATTTTGATTGGTTCCGGTTTCTCAACCTATTAAAAAGAATATAAAGTAATATGTGAACAATTAGAAAATTGAATTTATATTTTCATTGAGAAGAAACATACTTCTTCCAAATCTTCAAATGTAGCAGCTACTGCGGTCCAGTTCACATCCTTAGCTTCCTTGCCTCGAGAAATACCTAATAATTCTTCGCGCATAGCACCAATTAAGGGATATTTAACTTTTCCACCGCAAACCTCGCCTTTGAAATCGTCCATATCAATGGTCCACACCATGGCACCACCGAAGCCATTTGTTTTAATCCAGTTCATTTTGTAACGTATGGCGCGTTCATCATCGAAACCGACCCACTAAAAGAATTATTATTATTAGTTACATATGTATAATTTCAGGAAAAATAGAGGGTTTTTAAATTATACTGTAGCTGGATTAATATAATAATATTCTCAGATTATTTTTTGAATATTTAAACAAATAATTATCTCCCACTTTTATGTCAAGTTGTTAGGGAACTACATATGGAGATAGTTGAAGAAATTGAAATTTTATGGACGGATTAGTAAACACCATTTTAAAAATTTAAATGATTTAAAGAATACAGGGAGATGTTTGAGTAAGTGGAAATAATCACTCAGAGTAGAATAATTAAATAAAATGATTTCAAGAACATATATATATATATCATATTCCAAAAATATGCATATGTAATATATTGAGTTGAAGTTACCTGATCTCCATCAACCATGTACGGTACTTTCATTTCATCATCCCATACATAGACAGCGCCATTCAACAACATTTCACAAATTTCGTAATACGCCAAAAATCCGCCTTCTTTAGTGTAAATACCTTCACGACCACCACCAGTAGCAGGAGCGTTGGGACCATGTTTTTCAGTGTTTGCCAAAGTAAATGAACGTCCATATGTTGGCATACCTATAAAGTAAATAATTGGTTATTTGGTTTGTTATATGACAGAAACTATATACCATACATACCAATAATCAACTTCTCCTTTGGTGCGCCCATTTTAACCCACATGCTAGCTGCATTATCTACAGACAATTGTTTACGCCATTCGGAATCAGTTGATGGTGCATACAGTGGTGCATTGTGTCCTGTTTCACGTTCCCATTTTCCATGAAAATCGTATGCCATCAAATTAATGAAATCAAGATAACTAGCTACAGCTGGTACATCATAACCACCGCGTACATTGTCCGGACCTACTGGGACAGCAGCAGACAAGAGCAAACGTGTCGTTTTCAATTCTTGAGCTTCAGCTTCAAATGCTTCACGCAATTCTTTAAGTAAAAGTACGAAGTTCTTTTTGTCATCAGAGCCCTTAGGATATTCCCAATCCAAATCAAGACCATCAAAACCACGTTTACGCAAGAATGGTATGGCGGAGTAAATGAAGGTCTGACGTGTATAACGTGTAGCAGACAATTCCTTGAACTTTTGTGTGCCAAATGACCAGCCACCCAAAGCAAGTAAGATCTGTCAGGAATTAGTGGAAAGAGAAAATAAAATTGAATATTTCCTATTAAAATAAAATGTAGAAGCAATTACCTTCAATTTAGGATTGACTTTTTTCAGTGTCATTATACGTTCATATAGACCGGGTACAGTGTCTTTAGTTTCATCGTTCGATTCATAAGAGCTCAATTTACCCTTCTTCAACCAACCGAAAGCAAAGATTATGTGTGTACAGAGATCAGCTGGTATATCTTCAGGGATAAATTTGCCGATCTTCGGGCGATATTGTGACCAATTCGTGTAATAGCAGACAATTTTTTTGCCACCATCGTCTATTTTAGTTTTTTTGCCTTTCAACGATGAACCACTGGCTATCAAAGCAGTACCGCCAGCTGCTGCTGCAGCACTACCACGTAACTTTGACTTAGACCGCAAACGCGTACGTGTGACACTTCTTGTAGAAGATTGTGGCTGTTGATCTACGACATCATTGGCAGGTGCCTCTGTGGATTTGGCCCTTTTTGCTGCAACTAAGTTTGTGCTCGACCCTGATTCGCTAGTCGCAGGCGCTGTGGTAGGACGACGTAATCTTCTGCGCGTTTTTGCTATAATTTATTAAAATATTTTCATTACTATAATTAAGAACAATAAAACCAATAAATATTGATATTCTATTTATTTAAGGAAGAGAGTAATGCAGTAAGTAATGCCAACGCCCTAGTAACATTAACACCGAACAGCTGCCACTTAACCTTCATTATTACTGGTTGTAATTGCAAAATTATTTGAGATTTTTAATGGATATCAAAATGTTCGAATTTTTTTTATGGAAATAACAAGATAAATCAACAACTTCCGCAATTTTTCACTGCCATCAGCAGTTTTGGGTAACATCATTAATCAAACTTCAACATAAACCGACTCAAATCGATATTGAGCCGTCGAAATGTAAGTGATTGGCGGGATTAAGATAATAAATTTGCTTAAACGTTTTTTTGTTATTATTTGAATATATTTTATTATTTTTTATTGTATTGACAAATTAGGCTATCAAACCGAAACGTGCCGCAATTTGTGATTAAAATACTTAGATATGCTCAATTTATGAGCTTCACGTTGCTGTGGTGTTCTCTGAAGCCTCTCCAGTAATTGGCAGCTGTAATTGTGGTTCGGAATGGAAATGCAACTGCAACGGCAATGACTAGAAGCCTTTTAACCAAGTAATTGCTTGCACGATTTTTTATTATTTCTTAAAAAACATAATGAAGATGATTTTTTAAGTAAAATTGAAATTAATTTTTCCTTTTTTGTTGCCTGAAAATTGGCATTTAAATGCTGTCACAGATGCCTCACTTCAAGTTTCTTTGTTGTTCGATCTTCTTTGGAAGATATAATTAACATTTTAAGTAGAAAAAAATAAAAATAAAAAACGTGATTGATACTTTAATCATGCAAATGTAAAAATATTTAGGTCATCATGACGCAGACACCTACAATATCATAATGATTATCTTCAATGCATCATCACCATAACAACTGTTAAAACATTAACAATTAGATTTGAAAAGCAACTTTTGCTTTGATTAATGATTTTATATATCTAAAAGTCATTTTAGATATAGAATAGAATTTTTAAAAAAATTCTACGTTAACCTATCAAAGAGTAACTGAACGGAAAAAATGGATGTTATTCTAGAGATTTTGTTTTAGGAATTATGTTTTAATGTCAGTATTCTACATTATTTTTTTATGTAAAGTTCAGGGATCTTCAGCAAGCTAATGAGCTTATATTTGCTTAGCAGGTTATTCATAGGCTTGCTTGTGTTCTATTTATATGATCTACATTTGCTAACAAAAATAACTTTTTGTTATAATAAGCATTCTTTATTATAAAATTCTGACAGAAGTCAGTAGATTCGATTGAAAGGTACTGATGATGGTCCCTCGTATATGGAAAATATGATAAACCACTAATATATTGTGTATAAACATTTCACCAATATTGTGTTTGAATGAATCGACAGTTTGGCGTAGATGATTTAGTGAATTATCAAGACATTCGATAAATTTACTACAATCAAATTTTTAGATGAACACTTTCATTTTCACTATACAATAATTTTATCTATTTATTGATTTTGAATAAATGTGATGTGGCTTCCAAGATGGCAAATCTACAACAATCCAACGTATTGCCTCAAGTCACGTTTTGTGGAATAAACATAAACTTGTATGAAAAGTAAATATACTTCTTAATAACTACAAGAATACAGGTGTTAAGACGTCTCATTCTCTTGCACAATGAATCATCCGCATAAATTTGATTTGATTACTTCAACTTAATAAACGTACTATACAAATCTTAAGCTTTTAAAGAAAAATCTATTAACAAGAGATATTAAATTTAAAATATATAAAACGTTGATATGCAATATATCAATGTTCTATTTTCCAGACTGTTATCAGGTATGCAGTTTTGAATGAAAAATACTTAGAAAAGTTTATGGGTCCCTTAAAACTCGATCATGACAATTTTAGAGTTCGTTTACTATAGCGCTGCTTTAGTTAGCAGTTATTCCACAATGGGACTCACATCTGTTTATCAGAGTACAATGTACTGTATAGCTTGACTAAGTTGTTTGGAGCCCGCCTAATGAATGGGATTTCTTACGCAAAACGGTAGAATGAAAAAAGAACCGGAGAATCGATAGATCACACACAGAAGAAGCGGACTCAAGAATGCTGAATTTATCGAATTTCTTAAACAAGTGCATTCACAGTGCATATTGGAGAATTATTGTAAATATTAATTTGACCCACACCGAGTAGTAGTCTATAAAAACGTTAAGGATGAAAACGATTCTTATAGCCTTCAAGAAGTGAGTTTCTAGCTGTCGTTTATAGGTTCATTACAATTAATAACATATCAAATGTTTATGATTATATATAAATAAACAACAGAAGTCTTAATTTTGTTGATGGCAAATTAAGTAAACGGTGGGTTCAATAGGGATCAATAGTAGATGTTTTCTAAGCCCACTGTCGATGGATATTTGATATCCAATATCCGAAGCAGCCCAAGAACTGTCTCAGTCATAACAGAATTTCCTTCCAGTAAAATAAATTAGAAACATCCTTCATAATTACTTCCATCAGATTTTTTCAATTTTCAAGTATTTTTTATTTTCAGGCTTAATCAGCTTTTTTTGAAAGGAGTTAATTAGGTTCCTTATTGGACAGTCCGAAATTGCTATAATATAACTATGTTAATTTCTTGTGTCCTTCAACTGTTTCATCTATGATCTATGGGAAAAATATTCACGGATGGATAAAGGTTCTATGATGTTCGGATTTAGTTTTGACAAGATTGTAAGAAATATATTTTACAAGTAAAGAAAGTCAGAGCTTCTGTTGCCATGTTAATCGATATTTCATCAAAATATGCTAAGGGCGCAGTGAGACTTGAACCTTTGAACTGTGTTATAGCAAAACTTTATGAGTGCATACAACAAAAAATATAGAAGCTATAACTTCTGTTGCCATGTTAGCTGTTATCATATTAAAATACGGTAAGAGACAAGACGTCTGGAAAAGCTCATAGGTGGTGCATACGTGTACCACAAAAATGGTTGGGAAACACTGATCTAAACGTTTTGTTTTCTTATTTTTTTTTTTAATTTTTATCTTTGATATATATTGATATACAATAATTTCACTGAATGAATATCAATTTATCTCAACTCATTTGTACATTGAATGTTTTACTGATAGGCACAATGGAAAAAAGATACATACGTATATGTTGTATATTATACACTTGTTCTATGTTCACTGTATCTAACTGATAAATTTATTTTAAAAACAATTAATACTTGGTTGTATTTATACTTTTAGCAATGTTATTGTTGGAAGTACATTTCCAATAGTAATCCCATGTCTTCAATGATTTCTATTTTTTTATTGCTAAAAATACAAATGAGTAATGTAAATCACATAAATTGCAAAACATTTTGCATTAAAGCAATAAAATAATATTTCTTTTGAATATTGATTTTTTAATGCGATTAACAATAATATTTTTAAAGCCTCGACTCTGCGTATGATCGCTCGGTTTGTGATAAACTTTGGCCTTTTCAAATTGTAAAAAAGCTACTAACTTGCAACACCCACGCTTTAATGCTTTTTTCTCCATAAAATATACAAAAAAAAAAATTTGTTTCAACTGAATTGGCTATGTTTTATATGTACATTATCTAATGGATTTAATTAAATTTTTAAATTCTTTTTTATTCATTAATGGAGCCCCATAAGTCCTTAAGCTGATCTTGCATCTTCGTAACTTATACTTATATATCATATTTTGTCTACAGCTTATAAGCAGGGGGTATAGCTCAGGGGTAGAGCATTCGACTGCAGTTCGAAGGGTCCCTGGTTCAAATCCGGGTGCCCCCTAAGTTTTTTGTATGTTTTTTAGTAGGGGAAAATATTACTTACTCTGTGCACTGTCGCTGGTGTGTGAAAGGAGTACCACAATCAGACAAACTATGAATGCTATTTTCATTAACCGTGGCGGCAACTGCAAGAGAGAGAGAAGAAGAAAAGCTTTTTATAAAATTTTGTTTTTGCATAATATATTTTATATAAATAATATTAAAATAATTAAAAAAAAATTATTACATGAAATTGAATTACATATATTGCATATAACAATCAAATGCTGGTTTCACTTATTAATATTAATTAATGACGTAGCAATGAATTATGTGTTTTTATTTCTATTAATGATAGACAATTGAAACATTTTAATTAATTGAATTAATTAATTAATTAGTTATTTACAATGAATTGTGATAAAAGCCATAAATTAATATTAATATTTCATTGTTTTATATTAAATGACATTTTTAATATATTTTCGAAATAATAATTTATTTACATTTGCTTATGTAAATATTTTTATAACAATATTTTTATTTTTACAATACGGAGAGGTCCATGAACTCAATTTGTAAAGTTTTGAGAGGATTTGCCGTTATACTCGTGTGATGGAAAGTATAAAAACAAAAAGTAAATGGACATACGACAATGCATTTTTTTCATAAAATAATAAAGTAAAAGTTAATCCTAAGTTGTACATATCTTCTTCTCATTTTGTTAGTAAAAACCGGGTCTGAACTATCATTATTAAATAAATAGAAATTATATTTGAAAACAATTATTTTTTATTAATTATTAATTATTTTTTGAATGTATGAAACTTTAATGTTAATATTCTGAACTATGCTATATATATCTATATACATATATAAATATACTATATATATCTATATATATACATAAGTATTGATTTAGAAATTTAAGTAAATTGATCACATTCTATGCAGACCTTAGAAGAAATTATTGAAACAGTCCTGGAATTTACTTCTGAAGGCTAGAAAACATTTATGCATCTTTATAGTAAATGAAGTTTTGGTACGAGATTCTAGGAAAAACAGAAATAAAGACAAACCAATTGTTTAAGCCCTCTGTTAAGGGCTTATTAAGTTTAAGCCTTCTATTAAGGACTTAAACTATTGATTTGTCCTTATTTCTGTTTTTCTTAGAATCCCGTAGCCATACTTAATTTGAACTCAATTAAATTAATACTTGCGTATGATCCTATTTGTAATTAATAGATCAAATTTAATTTAAAATACAATAAACACAACAATAACAGCATCAGTGATTAAAAAAGGAAAAATAATAATTAGCATATTGAGAAGCAAATAGGATATCTAGGAGTATACTTATGAGAGAATTAATAGCTGCAATCTATGCAACCTTCCATTTTTAATAATGCTTCGAACAGGACATTTCTTCATTCCTATTCAATTGAAAATATTATAATAATATAATAAAAATATATAATACAAATACATCTGTTCGGCTCGAAGGCATGGTTTTCAATGTTAGAACAATAATCTAAAACAAGATTCCCTCAAGAAATTGACATGAAACTGACCCTGGTTTTGAACACGATTAAAAAAAAATTAGAGTGTTATAAATCTTCTCAATAACGACTTTAAAATTGTCGTTAGTGTCTTTTATAATCGATAATTAGAGTGGACTTTTTTTTGACAGAATTTAGAAAAGATGAGTGAATACAAGGCTCACATATATATAGTATATCTCTAGAATTGAAAACTAAGTATGATTATACAGAAACAATATTCTGCAGTCAAGCCATAAGAAAGCTTAGTATACCCAACCGTTTGTGCCAATTACAGATTTCTGGAGATACCAAAAATAGTAATAAATGTTATAAAGATTAAAGTTAATTCACCCGAGATATGGTAGTAAGGTAAGGTAAAAAACGAGAACGACATATAGCGTAGTGGAAAAATTTGCTCAGAAAATAAATACCCGAAATTCGGTATAATAATTATAAAAATCTTTATTGGAATACCTGCAGAATCATCTAATTATGTGATAATCATTAACGTAAGTCAATGAGTGTTAGACATGGAACATTTTGCTTCCTGAAATTTATTTTGTATTCTTCTCTAAGGCGTCACGGTGCTTATTTTTGGAAAGGGGACAGCACTGTAGTTTGAGATGTAGCCTTGTCAGAATTGTTAGGGGGACAGGGTTATTAATATATAGCAAGCTATGATGATAGTAATGGTAATAGATTATAGGTTAGAGTTAGTCCTTTATGCACTGCAGCCAGCAGTGATCTAATCTGCAAAAATTGTGATCAAGCTGCGTATGATAAAGTTGTGTATCCAATGGAGCACTTTAAACTATTTATGTTTCTCTGATATATTGCATCAAAATTGTAATCGTAATTATTATAGATTATTTTATATAAAAAATTGTCAGCTATTAATATAACTTATACTTATTATATAAAATACACCATATAATGTGTATTCTTATAGAATGTATTTTGCAAACTTGTGAATAACTAAAATTTTTTTCCCAAGCGTTTTTCTCAAAAGAATTATAAATCTGTTTATTTGCATATAAAGTGTAAAAGCCTTCAAATGGAGCACTTCCTTCCGCTGACTTCGTTATTGCTTTTAAATTTTTAATTATCACTTCCATTATAATTATTATAACTTTTCATATTTTTAATAAGTGTGACTTTTGTGAGACACACTTTTGTTTAAGACGTCGTCAGCCTTGGTTACAAAGGTCAGTTTTATTTGCTTAACAAAACACAAATCCGATTGATATATCTCAAAGATCTTAATCAAAACAAAAACAATGATATCAGAATAATGGAAACTTTATAATTTAATAAAATCACAAAATAAGAAAACATAAATAATAATAAATTTAAATTATGAAAAGCAATAAAAGCTCTACATAACTCATAATAATTGTGGAGTGTTTGGCGTAGCCCTTTGATTCGGACTCTTTGTGTAGCATAAAATTGTACAAAGATACAAGATACAAAAATCAGTAAAACAAATTAGATATATTATTGCTTTTGGTATTGTGTAAGTTGTTTTAGTGTTTTTACTAATTTGTATACATTATTTCGACTTGACATTGACCCAGTTCACGACCATCACCCAACCTGTTGCTGCTGCTTTTATTGTCGGTCTCAGCAAAATTTAGTTGGTAGCAAATTTACGTTTAACGTCGTAGTCTGACGGTTCAACTAATTAAAATTGCTGAGACGCAAGAGGCATTCAATTTTACGTTGTAACTTAAAACAAATAAAAATTCACAAGTTTAATTAAAGTAACTCCGAAAGCGGGCAGATAAGTGCGAAATACTTCAAAACAATCTCAGCTTTAAAGTTTAGAGTTTAAGTGCTTTTAATTGCATCAAAAGCAGAGCGTCATAACTACTTGAGATGCATTCAAGTGAAGTGTACCTCAAATGTCAAGTTCAACGAAGCCTTTAATTGTTACTAGAACTACAAAAATATCTACTTATATAAACTTATGGGGTCATTTTAAAATTATGCAATTTATTTGTTTTTTTTTTTATAGCATTAAGATTTATTAACATTCCTAATCTCACAAGACTTGTTTGTTCACAGCTTTCGTCTTAAAAGTTATAATATAGCATCATATATGATATAAACTAAATTAGATTTGAATTCTAGAAAACAAAAACACATGGGCTATGTGGCACTTTGTAATAAAATATGCCGTTTAAAACTATATCTAATAAAATGGTCACCTAATTCAGTAACCATTTTATGCTTTTAATGAATCACCAACAGTGGTTACTAAGGGTCGAATCCTTTAAATAATTTTCTCCAAATACTTTTTTCCTTTCCTGTTGATCATTAGTTGTTGTTCGTAGAACATTGTCGTGGTGTTCCTAGACTTCTGATTTCTAAGGGTTACGCTTTTCGTATTTTAATAAATGTATAGTCTTAATCGGCTGTGAGTATAGGCCCTACCTGTTTCAATCAAGAGGTTTTAATGTGTGTTACTGTAATGCTTTATCGTATAACTAAAAAATGTTGTCATTGCTACATTCACACCACTCAGTGTTTTGGTATGTTAGACTAAATTTGTTTCTGCAATTTCAGATTATTTCTGCATATATATATGTGCTTTAATGACAACTGCTTATACAAAGATCTTATAAACAGAACTTTCTATATAACTATTTGTTTATGCTGTAATTCGCATGATGAATAGACAAAATTTTCTTATGATTTCTTTATGTTATAGCTCTTACTAATGATAAATCTTAAGTATTTGTAGAACTTTACTATCTCGGACTTGCTATTTCTATATTTGTTGGTTCCATCTTGCCAAGATTTGTTGTTTTGTAACAGGTAATATCTTGATTTTACTGATATGCTAACACTTTAAGCTTTAATGTATCTAATATTTGCAATTTTAAGTTTCGAAAGATCAACCATGGTCGTGCTCCGCTCTGTTGGGAGCTGTTACCCCGTTTATTCCTATAGCTATATCTTTATCGTAGTTTATCTGGCGATTATAATATTATTATAATTGTTTTTGCGTGTGCTATGTAATGCTTTCTACAAAGGAATGTACTGCTTTCTATATTTATGAGTTTAAAATTAGATATAAGTATTTAATTAAAGTTAAGTAAATTAATTAAATTTTGCACTTCCCATTAAAATCATTTTACAATTCGGAAATCAGAAAAGAAATAATATTTCTTTAAAATTTAAATATTTGAGAATAATATTTCTCATGTAATAAGTTTGTAAGAGCGTTATAATAGATCTACGAGATTTTAATGCTTTTTTCTACTAGCAATCTTAGCTTCTAAACATTCTATTTTACGTGGGCTCTTAAGAAATGCTAATTACACCTAAAAATTTTAAAAATGTGTGACGTTAAACCACATATGGCCAACTCACCCACTTTATATTATTAATGATACTTTCAAGTTTTATTGAATGTGATCAGACATGTTGTATACTCACTCCCTGAGACTAACAAAACTCCTCTCCCTGACACAAAATATAATATTTATATATATAATTTAAATATTCTACTCAACAGACTAATAAACAAAAGTAATTTAGAACACCATTAGATCTTTGCAATAGCCGTTTAGAATGTAAATTAGTAAAATTAACCAAAATTTA